GATGACAAGACCTTTTCGCTTGCTTAATTGCAGCTCTTTTATCAGAAATTTTCTGACGAATGTCTGCTGGCAGAAAAGGTCTGCCGTGTCGCTGCACGGGAAGTACAGCTGCACGCTGCAGAGTTTGCTGAACAAAACTTGTCCACTCTGCTTGAGCCGCATCTATACCGTTCTCATCATCTATGATCGGTATATTGGGGAACTCTTTGAGGAGCGACTTGTATAGCTCCCAATCAATGCGTTTCCTTGGAGGGATTTCATCCCCCAAGATCTGCTCATTAGCCACTTCCAAAACGACGGGAAGATGATCGCTTGAGATGTCATACATGATTCGAGAAGTGATGCTGTAGCTACAGTTTTTGGATAATGCCAAATCAAGAACATCAGGTGCCTGAAGGTGATTAAATGGGTGGTGCGTCGGCTCCTCAGTACTATGTATGAGGTAGCCATTTCGTATCACATGGTTGTACAGTCGGATCCCACTGGTGGAATTCAACCTGGAATGCCATGCTCGATGTTTGCAGTTGAAGTCCCCTGCCACAATAAGTGGACCCGAGTAGTCTAAAAGGACTTCCAGATCCGCCTCTTGCAGCCTGTTACCACACCTGACATACACCGATGTGATTTTTAACGGCACACCTCCCGTCATATTGACCACCACGGAAGCCGCTTCGATGCTCTGCATGTCAGCGTTTGTGCTTCTGTGGTAGTCAATACCGCGTTTCACTAGCACTGCCAAGCCGCCACCCCGTCCAGTCAATCTATCAGCCCGGATAACATCGTAATTCGGGAAAGCTAGACGATCTCCCGGATTAAGTAATGTTTCCTGCAGCAAGGCCACATCTATACTTTCGTCCACAAGAGCTTGATGAAATTCCCGTCTTTTGGGAATGTCCCTTAGACCCAAACAATTCCAAAAAAGAATTTTGATAAATGCTGGCTGTCGTCGATTGTACCTAGCCATTTGCAGGAAAGATCGCCTGCAAAGCCTGTGTTGCGCTAATCAGAGGACCTATGATCTGCTGTAAGGACCTTAGCGCGGTTGCCAGGTCCACATTTTGCGTGTTCGCAGAAGATCCCACAGAGGGGGCAGCCCGGGTTGCATCCCTAGCTGCATCCGCGTAACTTACATTGCGCCTTTGCGCTATCACTTGCAGATTTTTCTTAGGGGCAAATCTGCAAGTTCGGCTATTCGCTGGATGCCCCCCTCCACAGTTCGCGCACTTTCGTTCCTCTTGTTCTGTTTGAGGGCATAAGTGGGTCATGTGGTCAGAGGCACATTTTAGACATTTAGGTGGTGCAGTGCAGTAAGATTGCGCATGCCCATATTTTTGGCAGCGGTGACACTGCCCGATGAGTCTTGAGTTCTTTTGAACTTCGACTCGGATAGCCAAACCTAGCAGCTCGTGTTCGTTGAACAGCTGCTGAGATTTTTCTATCTTGGGCAGTATGACTACCACCAAAGGCATGGGCACGCCGCCACCGCGTTTCAGGCGAATTATGTGCAGGGGGGAATATCCCCTCTGTTGCAACTCTTCCTTGATCTCAATTTCCGAAAGTGTCGCATGTACTCCTCTGATTACAGCATGAATGTTCCTCTCGGAGGGTAGAGGGAAAGTGTGATGGGGCACCTCTTCCTCCCTGAAGAGACGAATAATCCTGCGGTAATCATCCTCGGACTTGGGAATTATCCTGATTCCTGCATCGACGGCAACCGCGCGTTCGAATTTGATGCCCAAGGAAATAAACTTGTGATTTACGCCTCGCCATCTCGAAGCATCACGAAGAACGATGGGGGTAACACGTACCTTGCGTGGGGGCTGTGCAGTCGTGTCTTCTGGTACCTGAGATGTCGAAGGCGTGGAAGTATCCGATAGATTAGGCACAGGCTGTTTATTCGAGTCGCTTGCAGTTGAATGAGATGTTTCAGACTGCGATTTTGGTGAAGGGAGAGGAGGAAAGCCTGTCGTGTCGGTCTTGTTTCGTCGCGTTTTACGGGGCTTAACCTTGGTAAAACCGTCAGGGAGTGTATCGTCGTCTGTGGAAAGATCGCTTGAGTTATTTAACGGTCTCTTAAGATTGACAGCTTTGTCTTTACTGGGATTTTTGGGAAGTGTTTGGGAAGAATTTGTAATATTTAGATGGGAAGGTACCTGGGTTTTCAGTAGGAGGTCTAATTTAACTGTTAGGTCGGTAATTGTCCGCTGCTGGGCTTCGATGATCATCATCAATCTTTCATTGGTCTTCTTATCATCGTCCTTTTTTGACAGCTCCTGTCGAACCATCTCCAATTCGGCTCTCAGCTCCTCTATGGTCTGCTCCTTCGACTCCATCTCCATTGCCATGGTGGAAGCGCCATTTCCTGACCCCCCTGGGTCAGTTTCCATATTAAACACCTCGGTTATCTCGCTTTTCGTCTACAAAATTTTCCGGATCGAAATTACGGGACAGCTGCTATCAGTGCCCTATACAGGGCGATATTCAATAGAACGTATTCACATAACAAATTTTTTAGGCATAGGATTTGACACCATTGCCTTAAATGGAAGCCACACATTAAGCAGACTTGCTTCTACATCTTATTGTCTTGGTCAGCTGTGATTTGTTGTTGACAGACCTTTGCTGATGACGTACTACTTCGCCTATGTTCATTTGATTATTTTGTCTGGCATAAGTTGCCTGGAGATGTTTTTCAGAAACCAGGATAGTATACACCATGCAAAAATAGTAGTCAGGTTAATTGTGGGTGTAAATAGAAGAACAAGTTATAGGGAATATTTTAGACAGCTGGGAGTATTAACACTTCCGACTAATTGCATCCTTGAGCTGCTGATCTACGTGAAAACGAATTTGTCAAACTTGCCAAAGTTAAATGATCAACCAGAAATTCGCTTGTTCCCCAGATTCCCTCACACATGATGTCATCCAGCAAAAACAGCCCACAGCTAATGGCTATAAAATTGTTCAATAGATTGCCGACACTCTGAAGATCTTGTCATTGGGATCATTTAAGAACAGGGTAAAGGCTCTGATAAAACGGATGAGTATTATGGATACAATATCTGCTTAACAATTATTGTTACGACCGAATGGTGCATCTAGAGTTCTCTCTTTTTTGTCACTCTATTTTGATTTATATGTCTTTTCATCTTTAACTTTACAATACGGGCGATTCAAAAATAAGATATCGCGTTACATTTTAGATTTTTAATTGGAAACCCCCATTTTTTTTTAGATTTTCCATGAAGTTTTTAGTGACTATTGTATAACAATGTTTTTGTCTATATTCAATAGTTGTGATGCTATTTGAGTTTATAATCAAATTCAACTAACTTAACTTAAGACTGATAATAATGGAATGAAAAAACTTTGTCTTTCATTTCAAATTGTTAAGTTACCTACCTAGTTGTGATGAATATTGATCAATGAATTATTAAATTCAAGAAAGGGTAGAAATAACAAAACTGTATTACCAAAATGGGAGCATTGCAAGATGCACCGATTTTTTAATGCGTTACATCCAGACAAAAATATTAACGAAACTTGATAACAAAATTTAGAGAAATTGGATCCTGTCTATTATTAGCCATAATCGCCATCGAGAAAATCGATCTGTTATAAATGAAGCCGCAGAAATAGCAGTTTTGGTTCAGGATTTACACTCTTAACTGTACAACGCACTTTGAAAGTCAATAAATTTCAACCGTACAAGATAATACTTGTCCATGAGCTTAATGAAGACATTTTGATAAAAGGTTGGAGTTTTGCGAATTAATGTCACAACGTTTAATCGACAATGCAAATCTTTTATTTAATATTTGTTCATCGGATGAGTGTACGCTCTATTTAGAAAGAAATGTGTGGACCGGCATTTTCGGAAATCATATTGTAGGAACTTTCTTTTTTCTTGGAAACTTGACGGGCGATACGTACTTGGACATACTATAAAATAAATAGAGCTACGAATTACCCAAATAATAGAAAATGACGTTAATCATAATGAAAATTACATTAATTTCCAACAAGGTGAACACCCATTTCCCGAATTAGTGGATCGGCAGACGAGGCCCCATCGAGTGGCCGCTGAAATCTCCGGACCAAAGTCCTTTAGATTACTTTCTTTGAGGGCATTTAAAAAGTAAAGGTTTTAGTATGAAGTCAGATTTCATTCAAGATCTTCGTCAGATGATTACATGCTTGAAAGTGTGAGGAAAAGATTCGAACAAAATCTTTATTATTGCATGGTGGTAAATAGACACCACTTTCAGCACTTGACCTACCTCTTTATAGCAAATTAATTTTTAATTTAACTTCGATTTGCGCGTAAACTGTAAGTCGTTTTTTGTTTTTTAATACTCGGAGACTTGTTTTTAATTTTAAAGTAGTCTTGTTAATATGGGAACTATATTGATTATTATTTTTACGATATAATAGGGGTGCGACATTATCGTTTTACGTAACTTATTCATACTTGTGTAAATGTTATATTCCGAGATTTTGATTTTATCTTGCTGTATATGTGTTCTTTATTTTATATTATTTATTTTACTCTGCGATACCATTTCACAACTTTTACCGTAGTTTTCTATTTTCTAATATGTTCTATATCATCAACTGATGGTCTACCGAACTAATAAAGATTCTGATTCTATATTAAAGCGTTTAGGTTTTCCCGAGTCTGTATCACCTTCGTGTGCGTTTCATGACTGCTTTGAGAAAAACCCGAGATCTGACACCGCGCTGAGCTGCATTAGATCAACAAAATGTCGGTTAGGGTCACGTGTTTCCAAATTTTGACGTCACTGTAATTCCAAAATCGTTCGAAATATCTATTTTGAAAAATGCCCCATCCCTCCCCACGTCAAACACTAAAAAGCATCTTACACGATGCGCTTTCAAAGCGTATTGTTTCCGAAAAGAAAAAATACCACCGCTGTAAAATTTCAGTGTATATTAAATTATATTATCTCTAACTTTTCAATCTTACTGTTTTGTTGCAGATGTCACCGAAAAAATGGTCGAAGAACACTTTCGGTTGGGCGAGAGCCGAAGTACTAGGGGCTCTAGTAAATGCCGTGTTCCTGGTAGCTTTGTGCTTCTCTATCACAGTTGAAGCTTGCAAAAGGTTTATTGAGACTGAGATGATCCACGACCCGCAACTGTTGGTTGGAGTTGGTGCGATAGGATTGCTGGTAAATCTTATTGGGTTGCTCATATTACATGGTAAGTATAATTGGTACAGGGTGCGGAAGCATAATTTCCTTTTTCAAAATGTAGTGGAGCGCTAGTGGTCGAGCGGATATTCTGTGATCGCAACCCCTGTCGGTATCGCTTTAATTTAGCCTCATTGGCCCATGTCCTGGACCGGAAATCAATTGTTGTGTGGGTCGCTACGTTTAGACAAACTGCAAGTGCGACAAGACGAAGAATTGGAGTCCCTCGGCCCATCAGATCACCTGAAAACATCGAGGTAATGAGAGCTTCAGTGTTGCGCGCAAACATGCATCTACCCTTGAACTTTTCAATCGTTCTGTGAGGAGAATTCTTCATGTTGATCTTCACTTTCATCTTTACAAGATAGCAGTTGCATAGGAACTTCCTGAACTTGACTCAAATTCTCGGATGAACGCGTGTGAGCGTCTTCTCCTGACTATGCTATTGTTTTTTTTTTGATGAAGCCCATTTTCATTCGTGTGGATCCGTCAACAAACAAAACATGCGCTACTGGGCTGACATCTATCCTCGACCATTACATCAAACACCTTGCATTCACCTAAAGTCACAGTGTGTTGTGCAATTTCTTCGGCTCGAATTATAGATCCCTGGTTCTTTGAGGAAAATGAAGTCGCAGTGATAGTGAATTCTGACCGCACGCGTATTATGTCAAAAAACCGATAAAACGCCAAAAAAACCTATAAAATGTCACCTTGCAGACTAGGTACTTTTTAGTTTGCTCACTAGGATCGTTGTGAGCGTCCATCTATGGAGGAATGGTTCGACTACACGCATTGTTGATTGCATATGTTTTGTGAAGCCAGGTACGAATTTTTTCCGGCAGCTAGATGAGTTGGACCTAGGGGACATTTTTGGTTTCAACAACATGCTGTAATTGCGCACTCTTCAAGGGCATCGGTGGCTTGTGTTTTTTGTATGTCGTTTTTTTAAATCCCGTGTTTATGTTAACCGTCCAAGGTTCCTACAAGATTTGAAGACCAACAAAACAAAATTTTAGGCAAACGCAAAAACAAATAAAATCGATTCAATTCATACAATGGGCTTTATTAAGTTTTGAAAGAAGGAAGTTATGTTGCCTCACCCTGTATAACTAGACATCAGATGCAAAAAATGAGGACCAGTGATTGACTATGTACTTCCCACGTAATGCTGCTGGCATACATATGTTTTTCTAGTTTGGTTTTTGGAATGTGTAGACAACGAATTATTACCCCAACTAATACAGTTGATAATCTGAAAATATGGTTTATGTAAGAATATTTATATTTCCATTCATGTCTGAAGAAATTCACTATAGAAATTAGTAAACGATTCTAAAAAAGGATGATACTCAAACAGTATTTGAATATCATGAATTTTCACGCGTTTTAGATATGGAAATGAACGTATATAAATTCATGAAAGAATTGACGTCTGAAGAAAAATTCTTAGCACTAGTAGCATATTGATGATTCAAAACCTTTGGAAATTTTATTAAGCCTTGGGTAAATGCTGACATATTCTACCTATACCACAACCTACAAATGAATTTGAGCGATACTGATGATCCATTTGATATTTATCTCTTGTGCAGTTTTGTACCGGGGATTCAGATTTTTGTTTGAAAATCTCAAATTTCAATATACAGTGTGATCCAGATTCGCTTCTTTATACATTGATCTCGACTCCTGTTATACCTACAGCAAAGGTTAAATAGGGAAAGTTTTAGAGGAAACTTAGTGCATTCGATAGCCGGCTTCAGATTTATGATGACAATTAATTTTGCAAATATCAACGAAAAACCGAAAATGTCGAATTTTGTTTTTGCCAGTAAATCCGAAACGGTTAATTTGACAGCTGTCAAAACGTGACATCATTCGGTCATTTTTTTAAGGCAAATAAGATAGCGTGTATGACATCGTCTTTGGTTTTTCCGCAACCTGCCCCAACTTTAATTTCTCTTATGGCCGCCTTATTGGATTTTTCGAATTTTGGAAATTTCCAGCCTAGTGATGTCTCACAGGTGCATAAAAGATTGGATTTTGATCCTCCCGCGACAATGAAAATCCTGAAACAAAGAATTTTGAGCACAGTTAGAAACATTAAAAGAAACACACTAGCTAAGGTTTGACGAAAAACAGTCAAAAATGTCTGGATGCAAATCTTTAAATTAATGCCCACTTACATGATTAGATTTTACATTACATTACAATTTTGTAATGTTTGTTTGTTCAAGTGTAAAATAAATTTACTACGATTTTTCTGACTTGTTTTTTTAACACACTCATAGCTAGAAATTTGGCTTGTTGAGAAGTTGATATTAACGGTAATATTGTATTGAAAATTCAAGGCGTCTATGTGTTTTTTATGCCTTACTCATTAATCTTATTTTCTGACAAATAAATTATGGCCTTCTTAGAAAAAAACTAATACACAAGTTTACGTGTGATGATATTTCGGTAATACTCCAATCGTTTATGCACTTGTGAGTCATCACTAGACTGGAGATTTTACACTCTTTTAAAAAATAAAAAAATCCAATATGGCGGCCATGAGAAAAATGAAAGTTGAAGCAGGTTGCTGGAAAACAAAAGACGATTGATGTTATGTATACTATCTTATTTTTCTTAAAAAATTCCCTTTTTTCGGTTTTTTGCTGATATTTTCATTTTCATTTATAACAGGAGCCGAGATCCCTGTATAGAGAAGCGAATCCGGGACACACTGTATACGCTACATAAGTGAACATTTTTTTTTTATTTCTGTCAGGCTGTATTTCAGTAAAAAAAGGTCGTATCTAACTTTAAAAAAGGCGTTTTAGAGCTTCAAGTTTCTAGCTTTCAGGTTTTTCAACCAATAAATTTTAGGAGAAACGGTTCTCATGCAATTTTAACTGATAGCTCAAGGCGTTGTTAAATGTTTGCTTTCTTCTTTTTAGTAAACATGTTTTCCTATTAGACCAACACATGGATTAGATAATCATTATATTCAGCTTTAACATTCTGTTTTTAAAATCTCGATACCATCATTTGGCGCGAAGATATCTGACTTTGAATGTCTGCTAGAATTGCATGTGAACCGTGGCTCCTAAAAACTTTCGACTGAAAAACTTGGAATTGAGAATCGTAGAGCTTTAAAATGCTAGATACTACCATTTTTCCCCAAAATACAAGCTGTCAAAAATCACTGAAAAATTTGGATTTTTTTTTGCTCCCTTCATTTTTTTAAGTGCAGAAAAATCTCATTGATGGAATGTACAATCTTCAAAGCATTAAGAAGACGCCTTAACCATCTCGATCAGGGAGTAACTATATGAGTTTACCGCTAAAATTCTTTGTTTTCAATGTTGATTTTTTTGTCTAGAACATGGAGGTTCTCACGGACACTCTCACGGAAGACTCTCCCACAGCCGGAACCGACTCACCCAGCTGGCGGTGACAGATGACAACGAAAATGACGAAACGTATCCTAGTCCACTCCCGGCGAAAGAAGGCGCTTCGCTCACTGACGGGCATGGTCACAGTCACGGAGAGCCTAGAAGGCCCCATTCTGCAGGGGAGATGAATATGCGCGGAGTGTTTTTGCACGTGCTCAGCGATGCTTTGGGGAGCGTCATCGTTATCATTTCAGCATTGGTAAGGATAAGTCATATAGAAGATAACGCACACTAGGTACCCTTAGGAGGTTCCTCTTTCACTGGTACGTAATGGCGATGTCGCCAGCAACCGTAACCAAACTAACCCATTCAAATATATAGCAACTAATAATAATAATAGCTTTATTATCCAACCGTTTCCCATTTACAGGATAATATAACAATTAAATTACATACCCTTGTGTGTTATTATGCGTTGATAAAACAATATAATCTAATAACTAAAGGAACAATTATAATAGATTACAATAGTACCCTAAACTGAGATGCAGATAATTAAACCAAAAACAAGAATTCAAAATTAGTTCCATAACCTCTTTGCTGTTCTGATAAACTCATTCAGTGTACAAAAAAATTTATCACAACGGCTGGAGATACTGTTTAATTTATCACACATAACATAGACGGGAGACTTAAATACCATATTAGTCTTAGCTCTAGGTAGCTTAAATGTCACATTATGCCAAGATGAATATGCAGGCACAGCAAGAGCAACTTGCCCCAGAACATCAAAAGAATCCACATATCCAGGCAGCAATTTAAATAAAAACAACGCCGCCGCAAAGTGTCTTCTATGATCTAAACTAGGTATTTCAAATCTACTACATAGTTCATAATTATTTATTCCCCTTTCTGCCGACAACTTTGAAGGCCAGAAATTTGAGAAATTTTCGCTGAACTCGTTCAACACAAATTTTACACACCTCGTAGCATATTCATGTTTAGGTCTAGTGTAAGTGAAGTAAAGTATTTTAATAGTGCTAATATTGTCAAAACTTCTACAATTCCTTATCAAAAAGGGACCTAAGGACCATATAAGTATTATGTAAGCTCTAAAGGGGGCGGGGGGATCGTTGCTCATTTTTGATGATGACTGGGGTTTGGGGGAGACTAGATGGTGATTACGTCAGCAATATATTTTTTTCGGATTATCTACAAAATTTAGTCGATTATATGGCAATCCTGCTTGTCTATGCTTGAAGAGATTTGCGTACTTTTCTGACAAAGATGAGGGAACGCTCAATAATTATGAAAAAATATACATAACGCTTGAAGGACCCCTAGGTCTGTAGGTAGGACAATGGAGGAAAACAGAGCAAAAATATCCTATACCTAGTGCTAATTCAAAAATTTTAGAAGTGGCGTTCAAGGTTGAAGCTTGTGCGATTAAAAAACGGCAGAAATTAACCCCTGGCAGGCACACACATTTTTTTTTTGAGGGTACAAAGTACCCATCGAACTTTGAACTCTCATTTCTCACGTTCTAAGAGAACTAGAGCGTTTTTATTTCAGAGAATTCGGAGAAAGATAGGCTTAAATAAAGTTGAAAAAAAATAACCGCTGAAATTTGTACCTGAAGGTTAGAAAACAAGTTTTTTAACACTTTTCCGTTATTTACTCTCTATGAAGATATTGCATACTAAAAAAAAAATTAAAAAAAGAATTTCATAGCTGGAGATCCATGCTTTAATGCGATGTATGTGGTTTTTCCGGTTTTTTCAAAAAATATAATTATTTTGAGAATTGAACGCGTCGTATAGGGAGAATGTTTGCCCCGGGTACTTTGTACCCTGAATGCCTATCAGGGGTTAAGCATTTGGCGTCAGAACGAAGACTCAAAACGATAGATATACCGTAAAAATAGATTGGGATGCATCGCCTCTATCAGGGGTGTAGAGTCTATCGACAGCCCAAGTGTTATGTATTACCAGAATCGTTCTCTGTGAAAATGAACGGCAGCTGTCCATTGGAACTGCGGCGAACATCGAACTTTTTGTGAAAGCGTACCTGCCTCTAAAGCTTCTTGAAGAGCAGAATCCTTTCTGCACCCATAACTTTTTGAAGTGCGGGGAGTAGCAAATTTTATCAGGGGAAGGGGCAAGTCCTAAAAATTTCCAATATTGTACACAAAATTATAGAAATTTGAGGTCCACCTCAATTCTCATGGAGGCCACAGCCATGTATAAATATTCATCAAGTTTTTGATTCATTTTACAAATACAATAATTTTGAAGAGTAAACACATAATTTACGCATGGCTTACTGCACGATAACGTGATATGCAGGATGCAAAACTAGCTCCATTGTCAAGCTTATTATCTTGCAGCGTGTATTATGAATATTCGCTGCATAATGTGATAAGATTTCTTTTTTATTTAGGCTGGTACATCTGTGTATGAACAACGCTAAATTATCATTATTATGTACGAAAAACAAATAAATATATTTAACCTAAACCAACACATCTGGCACTGACTCGTGTATCTTATTTTAAAATCGTCGATCTAATTTGAGAGCTGCTCAATTTTAATAATGTATGCGAGAGATAACATATCGTTTTTTAAATGCGCACGACACACGCCGCTTTGAAGGGTCATAGTGTCAACAAGTGTGCGGGTGTCGGGTGCAATGCGCGTTTAACTATTTTAGTCTTTTTTTGCTTTCAACTAAGGTTCGACCGAAACTCATTTTCTCGGCCGAAGCCGATGTTCGGCTTTCGGCACAGCAAATAATGAATGAATGAAAGCGTAGTAACTATACACTTTACCAAATGCGTGATCTATCCAAATAAGACAGCGAAGAGCGCCACGTATCGTTAGAATCTGGGACTGTATAGATCTCAGTTCGCGAATTGGAGGCTGAATATTTGGTTAATCAAGAAAGCGACTTGTGTTTTAAGAATATAGTGGTAGAATAACGAAACTTGTAAACCCGGTTTTAATGCAGTACCTATTATTGGATTAAAGTTACTGAAATTAAACGAAACGTGATAATTGGATGATTTTGAATTCCTGACTTCATTCAAATCTGTCGAATTATTACTAATTTCCAATTTATGTGGAAATAACGAAAAAAGCGATACTTTTGCCTTCAATTTTCATGCAGGATATCCCGAAATTCTAAAAATTAAGCAAATCATATGCAGTTTAAATTGTATCGCGAAAACGAAGTTATCGCGGACATCCAGGGCTGGCTATAGGCGGTGAGCAAGCGAGGCAGCCGCCTCAGGGTCATGGGGGTGCAAATTTCTCAATCAAGGGTGAATCCATGGTGTCATTGAGGTCATGGGCCCCACTGGTCGAATCAAGACCGACCAGCTAAGGCCAAACCCTCCCCGCTTCCACCTTCAGTTATCAGAAAGGCATTAGCACTGATGAAGCCGGTCCTTGTGACATCGAACAGATGTTATAGGACAACTATGAAAAATATCAGGTCGTAGTGCTTGAAAGCTTTCACACGCATAGCACGAGAATAATCGTTACTGGGATGGTATATTCAGAGCTGGAGAACCAGTTTCTATCGGAACGTTACCGGATTGGAAATGATTATATTTGATGTCGTCGATATAATATGAATGTTTATTCCTCCCAGTGCCACCGGTGATTAGGCTATTAAAGATCTTGTTAGAGCCATTAGAAGCGCAGCTGATCGACTGAAATCTATCACAGCTGTCATAGGAATTGATACAACTTTCAAAGTGACGTTACGTGTCGTTTCAAGTAAGCTCTAACTTTATTTAGCAGAACAGAATTTTATTATATTCGTAGAATTGGTAACATAATTTGATACCTTCAAAAGTGTGTAATAGCAAAGTTAATTTATAGCATCTGACTGTTCCAATTTTTCTGTAAACAGGTATTTTGGCTGACCGACTGGGAGTACAAATACTACATCGATCCTGCGCTAAGTATCGTCCTCGTCCTTCTGATCCTACATTCAGTGTGGCCTCTACTGAGAGACTCCGCCCTGATTCTTCTACAGACGGTACCCACGCATATACAGGTAGATGCAATACAAACCAGACTTCTGGAAAATGTAGAGGGGGTATTAGCTGTACACGAGTTCCATGTGTGGCAGTTGGCTGGGGATAGAATCATAGCTTCGGCACATATCAAGTGAGTTATAATGAAAAATAATAGTTGTTAAAAATCGTGGTTCAGCTAGTAATGTTACCTGCGTATATTGATCTCTCTTGCAATAGTCCAGTGGGAAAGTTCACATTTCAAATTTGAATTACGCGGTAACCGTATACGCGAGGAAGTGGGGAGAGGTCTTAATCGGCGCGTTTGGCGTGCGGGTTAAATAGTCACAATGGAACGTTGGCCGGAGCGCAACGTGCTCTTGCTATCGAGGCTTACTTTAAGAGTGGTAATTCATACGCAGCTGCCATTCGGAAATTTTGTACAAGATACAACATTCACAGACCAAGAGATGCCCCAAGTAAGAACCTATTGATTCCTTGCCCCACACCTGTATCAACCGAAGAAAATGTGCGTCGAGTAAGTGATTCAGTCATTGCAAATCCTCCTCCTGTTGTAAGAAAAGAACGTCGATTTAACAGAAACACATGATTTCAGCAAGATGGAGCCACTGCCCATACTTCGAGAGAATCGATGGGCTCGGTGAAAGCACTTTTTCCTCAAAAAGTTATATCGAAGTTTGGAGACATTCACTGGCCTCCTAGGTCACCCGACCGCACTCCTTGCGATTATTTTTTGTGGGGTTATCTAAAGTCGAAAGTGTATTCCAATAATCCACGAACAATGGAGGAGCTTTTAAAGCCAACATTCGACGAGAAATAAACATCATCACTCCGGAACTCTGCAAGAGATTGTTTCAGAATTTGCGCGCGCGATTAGAAGAGTTTGTGTGAAGGGATGTCAAACATTTGGGCGGAATGATATTTAAGAAATACAACCCGCCGAATTTACGAATATGTTGAAAGTAATTAATATTTTCTTTTCATTAAGTTTGTAATTTTTTTCTTAAATGAAAAAGTGAACTTTTTCACAGGACACCCGTAGTAGCGCGATTCTTTATAACCGGAAACCTGATAAAATGGAAGGAAAAGGCAATTGACATTGACCTCAGTGCCAATGTCTTGACATTCGTAGCCTAAAAATGTTCACATCTCGCAAGTGTGTGACGGGCAGAGAGCTGCAAACAAATAACGATGTAGATAGATAGATAGATAGATAGATATGCTTTATTATCTGAAGAATCCAATCATTCTTAATGACAAAGCTAAATTTAATTTATAATATAATTATATAAATGCATCTTAAGTAGGTGAATTGTAGAACTCACACGAGGTATAATATGGTTTACATATTAAAAATCTTTTAAGTTCACGGCGGAATATCTTTAAATTGTTAATTCCTTTGTTATCAAATGTTGTTTTAGGTACTACTAATGTGAGATCTTGTTTTTGTCTAATATTGTAATATTTAATGTTTCAAATTTAAATTTAAATAGAGGTATGATACTAGAATTCCAGCGGCAATTCTCTAGGACAAACTTTTACATATATGTCAAAATATTGAAAATACATTTTTAAGGTTGTACATCTGCATTTTTTCTAGATGCCGAAATCTTTCCGAGTACATGAAAATAGCAGAGAAAGTGAAAGAATTTTTTCACAATGAAGGTATCCATTCAACTACAATTCAACCAGAATTTGTAGACTATACAGATCTTCCAACAAATAGCAAAGAACAAAGAAATGACGCTACAACAGACGATTGTTTCTTGGACTGCCCCAAGCCAGAAAGCAGTGACGACAACTGTCTCCGAAATACGTGCTGTGGCGCTTCGAAACAGGTAAGAGATATTACTTGGTTTCAGGGAATTTATAAACTCTTGTATATTCTTTTAAAATGCAATTGGTGCATAAAATCTTAGTAAGGCTTGGGTTGGTCTTTCAAAAAGCAAAACCCGTTTAATAATGTGTAGTGTTACATCCTAAGTTAGTATGAGGTGGTAGCAAGATGTAATAAATGTATAGTACTTCATTCTGGTCTCCTCATTGTGACTTCGTCTTGTCACTTGGAAGTGACGAGAAAGATGACAAAAGGTAGCCTTTTTAAATCTGGTTATCAATTATCATTTTGACGCTTGTTGAGGAATGTATTTTCGATGCAAGATGTTCCAAAATTCAGAGAAAGAGGTATTTAAGGGTTTTTGGTAAAAGTAAAATAGTAACTCTTGTGGATTTCAGGCTTGGATCAAAATCATATATTCGTTTAGATTTCTGTTTGTTGCCACCGCTGGTGCAAGTGCAATTGTCAGTTGTGCTTGAACATGTCGTTTTTTACGATGACTTGACTAGAACGTTCAAGGCCAGCATAATCCACTGTCTTACATGAACGTAGAATTTAAAGTATACCGTTCATAGATAGTGGACCTCACAGGTCTTTTGCTCAGCTTATTTAGGAGAATGCTTTTTTACATAATCATATCACATATTTGAGGCCCTACTTTTATTAATTTCAGGCGATTCCTCTATGTGTAATATCTTGATTAGTATGAAATTGATAAAAAAAACACGGAATAATTTTCAAGTTGTGAATATGTGATCTGTTAATCGTTTTCGCCAAGTGGAATTACATAAATTTCCATCTATAGCTTGCTTATATTGCATGTGCTGATGTTAGTTTCACTGTTCTATTAGAGATAAGAACACACAAAAAATTGCATGCGACGCTGTGGAAGATCGGTGGACTCCTGTGCTCTAGGGGATTTAATGGTAATTGTTGGAAATGCTTGATTTACCATGCTTATGTTTTCCTTCATTTTTCCTAAAGGTTGAGATCCTATTGCTTGTAGTTTGACAGTTCTTGGTTCGTCGCGCTTTTGACGCGTAGAAATGGAGCATGTTTTGTAGCCGCTTATCGTCATGGCCACTCTATTATCATACCTTTGATGCACCTACGACCAAAAAGTATTCCAAAAGTAAAAACTGGAATCATTCGGCGCAATGTAAATTGTACTGCGAGTGTATAACAATGGATGGGGGATTCCATTTCCGTATCATAAAAATTATTATCTGCATATGTTTAACAGAAATAATGAGTAACATTACAGCAGCATAACAAGCAACTTGTATCAAAACGGCACTTAAAACTAATGGGATGATTAAACAATCGGCAATATTGATCGCATTATTTACAAGGTTTGTCAGGAAGGTAATGAGCCTTATTTTTACAAAATTTATTGACGGGTAAAGTACAGAAACTCAATATTCTTCGAAGTAACACCTTGAATCGATACACTTTTGCCAGCGTGATTTCCAAGCTGCGTGCCCTCCCTGTAACTCCTCTACTAGGATTCTGTTTAGAGAGGCTTGAATGTCTAAGGTGATGTAATGTGATGCTGCCCCTTTTTAGTCGAGGAAACAAAAAGTCTGCTGGGACCAGGTCGGGACTGTACGGTGTCTGGAGCACCGTTTTGAAGCCGATCCGGGTGAGGTAGACGGCGAAGACAAATGTGATCTGGAACGGCGCCCAGTCAATTTCCATAACGGCCGAATTTCTCTCCGAACGCGGGCGACCCTGTGGTTCAGTTTTTCAAGCATTTCTTTGTAACATACAATCCTGCGGTACAGGATTCTATTATCACCAAAGAAGACAATGGCCACGGACTTCACCCGGACCGGCTTATTCGAGCACTACTCGAAACTTCATATCTCATCTCCAGTTACAACATTCGATCATTTCCTTTGGTATTTTACTTACTTCCACTCATTTATCGCGTATTTTTGCTATAAAGTTTTTTCATCGTAACTTCAACGAGGCCTCAGAATAGGGGTTCACAAAACGCGACGTCCGCACCTTCCAAGAGCTCGGAGACAACTGACAAGGGCTTCGCTGGAAAGCTGGAGGTTTCCCGCATCTTTCCCAAATCCGGCCTCATCACACAAAAAAATGGAGTTCATTACTTTCCGGACAAACCCTACATGTGTATTTCTATAGAATGTTGTCGTGATATTACCAAAAATGGCATATTACAAATTATTCCATTTGCTCAACAAATCATTAGTTATCGCTTTATTTCAATTTATGTTGCACCGTATACACGACCTAAATTTTTCAAGTCCAGATAAGGTTCAACTCCATAGCGGCGTCAAGTAATGATATTAAAAAATCGGGCAAACAAAATAACAATCGAATGATAAAAATTAGTATTATAATATTTTGATTGAAAATTGGTACAAGGCAATCCTTCAACCCATTACAAAAAACAAACACGTAAGATTATTAATATAACTGTGTCAATGTCGCATGCAATGAGGTTGGCGTGATATTTCAGATTACTTTTGGCTTGAGTGTGACTAAAAATGCTACTCATATGGTGTCTGTATTTCCATCTAAGTATAAATAATACATTGTTGATAGTTTTTGTAGATCAATTTCAGTTTTTCTTCGCATGCAATCTCAATAAAAATGGAGCGAAGATTTATATTAAAATTAAATTTGTTTTTGGTTGATTTGTAACTAACGTGTATAGTTGATATAATTTTATTTGCGGGAACATTGTTTTGATCTATCCTGTATTGCTTTGTTGCATACTCCTGGAAAATATTCAGGATGATCAAGGATATTTTAGAAATCCCTACATGAGTGCGCAGGTTGTAGAACACAAAAAAATAGTTTCGAGTAGTTTCTGTAAAAATGCTTTTTGCTACGAATTGAAGGAATAGTTACCCAACTCGAAAGTTAACTTGAGATTGAAAAACCGGGCCTTAGGTGATCATGGAAATTACTATGTGACAGAAACTTTGAAATATTTTGTTTGATGTAGATAACATCTAGCAGACTAGCTCAAGCCATAACTCGGAGCAGCTAGGTGTTATTGTTCTATGAAGCATTTCTACCAAACTGCACTGTTTTAATCATTTGTGTAGAAAAAATGGAACAAATCAGAAAGACCGCCACATACAGTCGCGGACAAAAGTTTGGAAACATTCATAGTATTTTTTTAAAAAATGCGCTAATTTTTTATTCTTCATTATTAAAGACTATTTTTTTTTCTCATATAGTTTGCTTACAGTCTTGAGGATACAAATGGTAATTTGTGTTTGCCGTGGTACTACAGACTAGCATTAAAATACCTTCATATTCTTTTATGACCAAAAATAAGATGACAAAAGTATGGAAACATATTTTTTATTACAAAATTAAATACAATAACCCTACAAAAAGATTTAGAACATAATGTTTAGCAAATATTTGGTAGCATAACCTTTAGCATTCAACACTGCCTGACATCTGCTGCTCATAGAAGACACCAATTTTTTACAGACGTCTGTTGGGATATTTGCCAAATATTTTTATAAATAATCAAATAAACCGTTCCTATTTTTTTACGTTTTTCTTGTCAGTTGTCTTTTAACATGCTCCCAGAGATGATATATAGGGTTTAGGTTCGGGGATTGCGAAGGTCATTTTAGAATATTAACATTTTTTAGTTTTAAACAGTCCTTTACGAAGTTTGAGGTATACTTGGGGTCCTTATGTTGCTGGAATGTCCATCGTAAAGGCATTTCTTCTTGAGCAAAAGGGAGCATGTGTGTTCACTCAGAATATCTTTGTAAAGTTTTTCATCCATTTTCTCAACAATTTTAACAATTGGACCCGTTTCAGAACTAGAAAAACAGCCCCAAACCATGACGTTGCCTCCACCGTGCTTAACTGTTGGCATCTGATACTTTTTGTCGAATCTTTTTCGTATTAGACGTCTCACATATGCTGTACCGTCAGATCCAAACAAATTAAATTTGCTTTCATCGCTCCATAAAACTGTATTCCATTGTTGTTCTGTCCAAGTTAGATGAGTTTTAGCAAATTCAAGCCGAGCAATACGATTTTTTTTAAATCTTCATGGGACAAACGTTTAATGTAGCGATCCAAAACATAATCGTTTTTTTTTCGGTCTTCCGCACCTGGGCTGCGTTGCTGTTGATCCGTATTCTTGATATTTGCTAATAATTTTCGAAATCGTTCATTTGTTCATTTTTAATCTTCGAGGAATGACAACATTTCTGACACCACTTCTAAATAATTCAAATACCTTGTCTCTCAAATCTTTTGAAAATCCTTTTACTTTTGTCATTCTCACCGATGTTAATATTTATCGTACGCAATATCAGAATATTGCAGAATGAATAAATACGGTAAAACTGAAATGTTTCCATACTTTTGTCGTTACAAAATCTGTGGTATTTAAAAAAAAACTTTTTTATTTTCAGAGAATTTGAATATTGATAAGACAAACCTTGTATTAGTACGGGCGACAAAGGTACACTTTAATATTTATATCATCTGTTCCTTCACAATTTTAATTTAGGTATATGAGATAATAATATTAATATTTGTTTCCAAACTTTTGTCCGCTACTGTAACTTTAAAAACATAGATAAATGAAATTGATAGAATCTTTCACTTTCTCTCTTAGGGCCGTGACACTCCATCCCCAAACACCACTCCGTACGTATGCCGACAACGTAACAGCGTAGCCAGCGCGCACGCGCATGCGAGCGACAACTCGTGCGGCGAAGAAATGAATGAAATGGAGAAGGGTGTGCTGCTCGAAAGGGGCTCCTGCAGCAACGGGGGCTCGCAGATGTTAGCCCAAACTAGCAACGGAGATTGCGATTGCTCACTCAGGGGGTCGCAGTATTCGCTGAGGAAATAGGACACGGGGAACCAGGATGAGGAAGAGTTAGAAGAGGAAGCTGAGGTTAGAAGATTACTGATAAATCATGACGAGAGGATCGAGTTCATGATTTGAGGGCAGTGTAGAGGTTGCGTTGTACATCGCGAAGGTTAATTTCAGAACGAGATAACTAAATTGTGGCGAATTGAATTGTTGAATAAAGTTCTATTGATGATTTTTTCCGAAAATCAATATCGTTCATAAAGAATTCGTATTGTAAAATGAAATATCAATATCAACTACATTGATGATGAATTTGCAATGGTTAACGAAACAGAGAGAACATTGTCCATGAAGTTTACAGGTCGCCTTTATTCAACTTGTCCCTTTTAATTGCCTTGACACTGCACTGCTGATTGCCTGTCTCAGCATATTTTCGGCAAAAAACAGAGCGAACCGGTAGGAAGACCGAGGACGCGTCCATCCTTTGTTGTCAAATCGTCATAAACTGCTATATTCATAATGAACTTACCGAAGTAACACATTATTGTTGCATACCTATTCCCTACATTTTGAAGAAATATGAATATCCGATCAAATATCTATTCAAGTTTGTAAGAATATTATCTACTGGTAAACGTGAAAAAATTATTTGAATATAGGTTAACTTTTGTGTCCGACCCACTTACATTAATATTTTCCATATTGGATGAACAGTATATTTGGTAAAGTGCATAAACTTGATAAATATCCTCAACATGAATGAACGTAAATCTGTATGCTGCCCTTTTATCCAAACTACCATCTTATGGCCTCCCAGAGAAGCTATGCTGAATTCCCCTCTGTGATATCTGTCGAAATTGACGAATTTTCCTATTCATCCGTCAATGTCAACGGAGGTGTTCTCCATGGATCAGTCTTGTACAAGATCTAGATAAGACCTAGCCTCGAGTACCGCTCACATGTTTGGGGTCCTGCCGCCGCGACTATATTGTCCATATTCGATGCTGTTCAGAGGAGGGTTGTCCCTCTGTTCAGTGACAGTTCTAACAGATGGTCTCGGGTCAATTTCGCATCCGTCAGACTTCGGCATCCCATCCTAATCGTGTCGAACTTCGTACATCCAGAACGGAGCGGTACACCCGTTCCTTTGCTTCTTGGGTGTCGTGGTTGTAGATCAAGCTGTCTGAGGATGCTTTCCTAGTTCTGTTAACCTTAGACTGTTCAAAAATCGGATTAACAAAGTGTCTTCAAGCTCTCTATAGCAGCAGCAGTCCCCCGATAGTTAGGCTTCTGTCTACGCGGAGCGCTTCAGTATGAAAAACAGTAAACAAACAAGTAAATTTGAACAGAAAATGTTTAATCGTTCGCTACAAGTAACATTAAATTCATTCTAAAATAATTATCTATCTGGCAACACGGCGTTCATCTCCCGCCAAATATAAAAATAGGCGGTTAAACGTCATTTCGTTACTTCAACACTAAACATACCAATGGTTATAAACTTTTGCGTTAAAAATGTGCGTATTATTTGAACATTTGACATCATGATCTTTCTTTTATATACAATTGATTATAATAAAGTTAATTTATTTCCCTCCCAACATGCATATTTCACACTCAATCAAGAAACAAAGTTTTAAGTGTTAGTAATCGTATTTTTAGCTTCTCTGGGCATGCCTTATTTTTGGTTCGACATTGTACCATTTCCACGTTCTTGACTTGTTATCCTTCTAAAAATAACTTTTTTTAGAAATGCTTGCGTTCGATTTGTTCTCATTACGTCGTCTGATTGAAGGAAACCTAATGAGTAATCTGTCAAAACAGGCGTTTTTACTGTTACTTTTGAATTGCTCTCACTTTTATTGCTCAAACTCGTTTTCGGTCTATTTCCTGATCCATATGAGCGCTTTCTTTCTGTGATAGATATTTTCATAATCATAATTGTAGTGATAATAAATAAACTTAACTGATGATCCAGTCGTCAACAGACAATGATTCCAAACATGTATAAAATAATATCTCACGACAGCCCAAATGTTAATATTTCAAGTACACAACAATCACTCAAATCTACGAGGTATGTACGCATATAAGCCCAACAAAAGCAAAAAAAAAACAATCAAAATTTAAGATATGAGAGAAAAAGATACCGTATTTATAAAAAACAACTATCAAAATAAAATAATATTAACAGTATCGAATACAATTGGTGTATAGCATTGTAGCCAGGTGCTATTATAGACTTAACTTTAAAACAACATAATACTGAAATTGACACAGCACTAGTCTCAAAAATTAGTATATAACAAATGCCTAGTGTGATTCAAACTACGCATGGGTTGTAAGATCGATGCCTTGAGATCGCTTTTTAAAAAGTTTATTTTCGAAAATACAAAACTCAAAAATGTACTTTTACAAAATTCAACTTCCGGGAAGAATTCTTCACGGAAGTTGAATAGGATGAAGTTCGACTTCTGGTTGCTGAATACTTCTATTTCTGAGCTTCCTCCTCTTCAAGGTTTTCCAGAATGAGTAGACGCCCAAGAGTAATATACATCCATATATTATCAGTGTCCAGGTACTGGGTATAAAAAAGTGTGCAGATTTCTTGAAGTTGGGTTTGTTGTTGATAATGCTTGACTTGATTTTACTTAACTCGTCCAGCCAAATTTTTTCTAGATGCAGACTGAAATTTGTTTCTGTGATGTCGCCTTTAGTGTCCAGGTTTAAATCCGGGAATAGTATAGGTTGGCCCGCGACAATCGTTTCGAATTCATTTTTGATGATTAATTTCGACTTGGCAGTTGACAGGAATATGAAGCAGGTAAGTTCCCGTCAATGTTTTCATTTGCATTTCTTCGTGGCATTCCATTTTAATAACTTCTGGTAGTGGCAGGATCAATGCCCATTGATTAGTCCGTTGGATTCGTTCGATACTTGGCTGATTGACTATCAGTGGAGTTCTGGCACATGCTGGGGCGTTTCTTCCATTGAATAGTTCAAGTTCAAAGGGTAACGGACCATTGATGTCTTGCAAGTTGGTTTTCTCGTAGAGAAACTTTTAAGGAGTAATTTCAGTACAAAAGTTCAAAGTGCAATTCATTTTTTGCCAAATAAGGCTCTTTTGGAATGATAGTCTTAAATTGACCTTCAAAATATATCGGGATTGGAAAGAGACGATATAAATTAAATGACTACAGTATGAGATTGGGAGTGATAAAACGAATGTAATTTTGTTGCCCACAGAATAACTGGAGATTTTGATTATTTTTTCAAAAGTTGGTATGTTATCTAGTAAAACTGGGATCGCAAATTTTTCCTGGCCTAATCTTGAGCTCAATAGTTTCAGTTCTCCAAAAATTTCTTCGGTTGCTAGAGTGAATTGTTCCAAGACATGAAAAAATTATTGAATTTTAAACGTCTTGTAATATTGACGGAGTTATTTTGTAGCTGTTGATAATTTGAGATACTGTGTCTACTATGAATTTATGCTGTTCTGAATCGATTGTAGCACGATTAACAATTGCATATATGGTATTAATTTTATTAAGCAATTATTCATTATGACAGACTTGTTGAACAGTTTTATTAAACTTATCAATAAGAGACACTGAGAGGGCATTATTCTGTGTGACACTGTTAGTAAATTCTCTTTGATTATTTTGAAGCTCTTGAATTAAATTTTCGAAACGTTCGCCATCATTGGCGTCAAGGTTTCCAGTTATTGATTTGAATATCGACCCAATGCCATTTAATATGCCTCTTTTTCCTCGCTTTGTATGGGGAAATATATTATGTAACTTTTGTTCTACCTGTCCATGAACAAATTTTAATGTTCTGAAATAATTGGACAAATATGTAGTGACATTAAATTTGAAGAAATGGTTTCTGCTATACGTAGGAGGAAATCGATAATTTTTCAATTTCAGAAATGATGGGATTCATATCATAATAATGAATGAGTGAAAAGTCATAGTCTTTTACTTTTGCTTCACCAATTTCCACGGGAAGTAGTCCTGGATTACTGTCGAGGTTACGTATAGTTATGCTATCCTGAAGTCCAATCATTACTTGCAGGAATCTGTAAATGAATTAATAATACCTGCATGTATGTATGTGGTATTTTAAGGAATATAACTTGTTACGATAAATGATAAGATTTTGAGGAGAAAACGTTTCCAGTTATCTGTATCAGGGCTTTGTTGCATTTTTCAGAAACTGGTACATTACTGTGTATAGCCGCGTCATTTTAGAAGACAGTAGACAACAAAATTGAATTATTTGGTCATCGGTGTGAAATACCTAAAACTGAGACCAAGAGTGTGAACGTCTGTTCGATGCCGAATTTTATTAAAAGGATAAGCAGGATACATTTCTGCGGATTCATGAAATAAACCAACAGAATGTACAGTATCTGAAACCTTCGTGTACACTGCTTTAAGATCATCAAATTGTCTCCTAACTTTAGCGACAACATTACGTCTTGTTTTGTTGCGCTGCTCAAAATTCTTGGCAGTTTTACTATTTTTGTCTCTACTCTTGGGGTCAACTAGATGCTCTGGTGTTTGACAGTTTTGTAAAATTTTTTATTGCTTCTTTGATTTCTTCATACTAATTTCACCTTCACATACTGATGTCTTTGTTTTATTGATACACTTTGTGTGTGGCTCAACAGATAAAAAATTGAAATTGTCTTCAGCATTTAAGTAAAGTAACTTGATTCTCGCAAAAGGGGTAACTAGATAGCCATCTCCAAAGTGTAGGGCGGCCTTTAATTCTATGAGATGGTCAATACCAATTGAACCATTGAAAACATCGTTGAACTTGAATAGGTAAAATTTCAATTTCTTTGGATGAGGCAAGTTGAAGATTTTATATGCTGGTATTAGAGCACTAAACTTGTGTGTTGATCTGTGGAATACACGTGAGACAGTGACGGGTTCCTCCATAACCTGATTTGGGAAAAAATTGACAGCAATCTCTGGATCTATAAAAGATCTATTTGAGCCAGAATCTATCAAAATTTTGATATTCTACTCTGGAAAAACTATATAGCTAAGGCCATTAGAACCAATAGGGTTGAATGATATAGTTTCTGAACTTATGGTGGCTCGGTAGCCAGGCTTGTTTTGGTAAAATTTTGATTTTCTGATTTCGTAGGTGGATCAGATGTACCTAATATTTGATTCTGATCAAAATTGTATTGGTCGTATTTATTATCTAGTCTAGGGTCGTCATAAAATCGGCCAAAGTTACCTGAACTATAGGTGTCACAAGTGTTGTTATCATTTAGCTCTGTATTATATAATTCCTCAAAGATAAAATTTTGCTGAGGTCGAGGTGTGTTCGCCTTTATTGGAGCAAATGATGGACGTGTTGTGTTTCTTGTGCTGACACTCAACGGTGTCGGCCTGGGAAGATTTCCTAGATTTGAAGAATTTGGCTTAAAAACGTTTGTATTCGAATTCTTTGCTTGTTGGTTGCCAAAGACTTCAGCGATAGTCGGGAAACGCTGATTTAAGTTTGGCCTAGGTTGAATTTGGATGGGTTGAGATGGGAATTGCGCACGAAAAAAAGCTATTAGGCGTACGAGAATTAAAATTTTGATAAGGCATATTAACTGGGCCTGCAGGTCTGAACTGCGAATTTAGAAAATTTGTAAAATTTTGTGAATCTGCCCAGCTCTATATGAAACGTTTTGGAAATAATGCGCATTTTGTTCTTCAACCACTAATTGAAGGGCTTCGCTCAAAGAGGTTGGTTTCAAGCACCTGACAGTGGTGCCCAATGGTTCTTTCAAGCCTGAAAGGAAAGTCTTTCAACGCAAGTTTTTGATACAAATCGCGTTTTATTGCTTTACCACTTTCGGTAGCTTCGTGGATATTGACGTAGCTTCACAGATTGTTTAAAATATGCAAACATCTTTCGTTAAATTTTTGAGGGCTCCCATTTTGATATTGCTTTAGTAAGCAAAGGTTTCTATGGAAGCACACTTCATCACGTTGGTCAGAAAAACTAGTAATTAGTAAAGTTTCGAGTTCACTCCAGGTGTTCACTGAATGAATGTTTATTTAAGATTTGGCATGTCCTCTTAGCTTTGAAAGAATGGAGTTCAATAAAAATGTATTTTTAAAATTGTTTGGATTGGTATGATCATAAAAATTGTCAATCAAGGATTTGCTTACACGCAAAAGTCGATTGAGATCGTTACTGTTGCCGTCAAATTCAGGCACACAGCTTAAGTATTCGGGCCTAAAAGTAGCCATAGTTGTAGTAGTACTTGTAGATATTGAACGTACAGGAACTTGTGAAAGTATGGGCTCACGTAATATATTAGAGTACCGTCGAGTATTTGGAGAGTCAGTATTAAGGTCCAAATTCTCAAGGGCTTCCGATATATCAATACTCATTGAAATTTGAAGCGATAAATGGAAAAAAATAAACTACACTTACATCACTAAGAACGCGATCTTTAGCATCTCTTACTCCTATAAAGATCCTAGCTGGTTCTGCAGTGTTGTCTTCCCCAGGCTGGAATCCTTGCGAACTTGGACAATGTGGTCCCAAATTCCGATGCCCTTCGTATGTAGCAGTTCACTCCGGTTCCTCAAAGGATTGGGTATCCAAAAATATGAATCCACTCCAGTGCTCACTGCCACTACGCGTACGCCACCAAAAGGCCGGATAGAGTCCCGAAAAGTCCCGTCGCGACGGATTGCGAAAGTCTTTCCCGGGTCGCGTATTCCTACTGGATGACTGCGCCAGTTATAAGATCGACGCCTCGAGATCGCTTTTTTAAAAGTTTATTTTCGAAAATACAAAACTCAAAAATGTACTTTTACAAAATTATTACAATGTTATTATGATGTTAACAGTACAAAGGCTTAAATCTGACTGACTATAAAATGTGTTGAGAACAATAAAGTAAACTCTAGGCCTTCTAGGAAATTAGTAGCATCGTCGGTAGTATTCCTGGCATATCAGCAGGAATTTTGTAAAATTTTGTCAATGGCGCCTCTGAATCGTACGCTGTGGTACATATAAATTCCAAGATCCTTCACTTTTATGCCAATGTACATTTTTATGTTCAATAATGCTTGCCATTGTAATAAATCATTGACATCACCATCATCATCAACTTAGGCCTGTTCCTATTCCACAGTCCACCTCATTCTCAGATGACCTTTACAACTTTACCATATTGGCTTATACAGGTTGGCCCATATGTAACTGCCTGGTTTGTATGGTAAATATTTGTGAGATGAAATAAAATACGTACATTTTTTCATCTTAATCTTTTATTGAAACTTAGAAACTGTGAATGAAAAATAATAATTATACCAGAAAAATGTCCGCCTCTGGAATCCGCGCAAACCTGAGCCCTCTTGATTGCATTCTCCATCACTTTTTGTTAGGTTTCTGGAGGAACATTTTCAATCGCAGTATTTGGTTTTTTTGGCATAAACCCTATTTTTCAAAAATCCCCATGAACAAAAAATAAGGAGAGGTTAATCGGGTGACCTTGGTGGCCAGTTGACATCACCAAATCGAGAAATTAAACGTCCGGAATTATTGTTCGCAAAAGATTCATTGTTTCGCTAGCTGTGTGACAGGTTGCTCCGTCCTGCTGGAACCACATGTTTTACAGGTTTGGATTTGAGGAGCCATAAAGTTTTGCACCATATCACGTAGCGCTCGCCAGAGACAGTAAGAGTATTACCTGCAGCGTCTTCAAAGAAGTAAGGTCGAATGACACCTCCATACCAACTACCGCACCAAATTGTGACTCGACGAGGATGTGGTGGTCGTTAATGGATGACACGAGGGTTCTCTAATGCCCAGATACGACAATTCTGCTTATTGACAAATCCGTTCATATCGAAGTTGGCTTCATCGCTCATTATCAGTTGTCAGTAAAAATCGTTATTTTGGGTATTAAGCTGCAATATTGCATGACTCTATTGTCAGTGACTTTCATGGTCACTAGGCTGTAGTTCTTGGGTTAACTGAATTTTGTATGGCCGTAAATTCGAGTCTTTTTTTAAAATAGTGCATAATGACGTGCGACGAATACCCAGTTCTTGAGAACTATGTAACGATGTCTGGCAGACGTCTCAGGGCGCTCCACTACATTTACACGAACTCTCTCGATATTTTCCGGAGTACGAACAGTTCGAACACGGCCCGACCTTGGCAAGTTTTTAACTTCACCTGTTTGTTCGAATTTTCACACCAACTGATGAATGGTGTTGACACTGGGCACATTATTTCGACCAAAATCTTGTCGTAGCTTCCGAATACTTGCAACGTTTTAACAATTCGGACGCGTTGTTGGATCATGATGAATTAAACACATGTGCTTTAAACAACTACTACGGCGCCACCTACTGAAACGCGAGTATGAAAAATGGCGAGCAATTTAAATCAGTCAGTTATGTATTTAAGAACCTCGTTAGGAATATTTTGATTTTCCATTCTTTGTACGTGACCGAATCATTTTTGTCGATAGTCTTTCATTTTATCATTAATTGCGAAAATTTGATGTCAACATTGTGGACTTGATGTTCTCGAGGCATTGACATAACTAAATTCAAGTAATGATATGACGCTAGTGTATATACCACTCATCCATAGTCCTAAACTGCGACTGGAAGCTAGGCTTAAGGTTGGATTGGTGCGCCTACAAGAAATAAAACGGCACTCATGCCTGAAACTGAAATGATATTTTCTATTTGTTTTTAGTATATAATTGCAAGTATGGTCCTTAAAAATGGGTATTTCATCAGCATTCAACTTAAGAGAATTACTCTTCAAAAGTGATAATGTAAGTTTTTAGCAACAGTCTGCCTTCAAATCATCTCATGTTTCCATTCTAAATAGATACAATTGCTAGTTGCTACAGAGAATTTGCAAATTTGACCAGAATCAAAAGGGCTCTGATGGATCTGATCAAAATACCTATGTTGGTCAGGTTTTTGGAATATTTTTTTTTACCTCATTGACAAGCTCATTTTTGCAAATCCTTTTTTTCAACTTGTGATACGTACAGGCTTGTACATATATAAGGTGTATGTGGTCACATTGTATTTAAAATATTACGGCCAATATCGGAAACGGTGGTCGGTTTTGGGCTGAATATATTGATTTTGTATGGTTTATAGGGTTTTCCATTAAGGACTTGACAACATTCTTTTTAAATAAAACGCAAACCATTTGAGATATCTCGAACATTTTGTGATTGGATTGAAGTACACTCAAAACATTTATGCATGGATGTAGCGATCGATTCGTTGAACCCAATTTCCAATGACTCGGCAGAAACGGCCGCTATCTCTCGTTCAAGATTGGCTCTGAGCTCCTCTAACGACACCGGCTTGTTGGCATAGACCAATGATTTAATGTAGCCCCACAAAAAAAGTCTAGAGGTGTTAAATCACACGATCTAGGCTGCCATTCGACAGGACAATTTCTCGATGTAACACGTTCACCGAATTTTGATTTCAATGTTACACCCGCTCTGAGGCTTGTAGCACTGTCTTGTTGAAACCAGATATCACTAATGTCTAGCCCATCCAGTTGACCAAAAAAATAACGTTGCGACATGTCTCTGTAGGGATCTCCGTTGACTGTAACGTGACGGTCTTTTTTAGCAACAAAAAAAAAACAAAAAAAAGGCCCATAACCCCACCGGCATAAAAACCGTCTTACTGGCACGGGAACATCCCGCAGCGAATATGTGGACTCACATTTTTTTACTAGCCTATGAATTCTCGTCTACTGGGACGAGAATTACGAACAAAAATTTAAGTTAACGCTCTTAAAGTTGCAGTCGCCGACTCGGAATTTCGGTAGTAAATTTTAATTATTTGTAAGCGTTGTTGGTTCGTGTACTTCATCATGATGAAAATGTTTTCTTTACTGAATGTTTTAACACTGACGTTCGGTAATTGATTTAAAGGTGCGTTCACAGTGAAAGTTCAAAGTTGTCAAGTCCCTATTGGAAAACCCGATATAAGGTATATGTGTTCACATTGCATTTAAAATATTATGATCAAAATCGGAAACGGTGGTCGGTTTTGAGCTGAATATATTGATTTCGTATGGTTTACCATATACTTTATATACGTGACAAGCCTATGATCAGTAAGATTGATATTACACTTAATGTAAATACAAATAGTTTTTAAATAGTTAGCTTAAATATTAATAATTCTATATTTTATCATTCGTTTTAAGGATTTTTTATCGGAAATTGAACGTCAAATTTACAGATTTTTATGATATAAGCTTTGAATCTAGTCCGTAAATAGCAACGCGATACGAAGGTATTTATATTATATTATTTTTACATAGATTATTCACAATCTGATTGCTTATTATATTTAACAATTTTTTTATGTTCATTAAATGAAAGCATTGTGATGAAAATGTTTTGTGGTGTGATTATGTTCAGTAAATAATTTATTCCGAGAGAGACAAAAAATTATTTATAGTTGATGCAGTTCAGGTAAAGCTTGATAACAATACTATGATTGGAATGCATGTTTTATTTATTGACTTCTCATTTTTTCTTAATGTAAAATTACTGTGAGCTGTTGTAACCACTGCCAGGTTTCCTTGGATAGTCTCAAAATACTAAAAGTATCACAGATTTAGCTCCATTTTAGGTAAGAATGACACTTTGTGTGAAGCAAACATCTACTATCCCATAGCATTCCCTATTTTCATTTCTATTCTTTATTAAAGGAAGCTCCAAAGAATGCCCCAAGTTTCAGAAATAAAGTACCAGGCACAAAACATATGGAATTTGACCACCAGTCAATTTTAATGAAAATTTATACTCGTTTGTAACAGTTCGTGTTGTGCGGATCAAATATTCCAGTGGGCACAAAGCCCAGAAATGTTGGAGATATAGGGTCGTCTTTATTGTAGACTCGACAATACAATAAAAAATCACCTAAACACATACAATGTATAGAGGATGTCCCTACGAAAATGGAAACTAGTTTATTAGAAAAAGTATAAAAGATTTTAGAAAACGATTTACGCAGCAGGATTGAAATCTTATGTGTGCATTTCTAAATTATTTGGCATATACGGAATGTTCAATTTAAAATTGTTGAGAAAAACGCTTCGCGTATTGCAACACCCTGGCGTACTTTTTGATCCTCTTCCTAAAAGTCGGTGAAAAACTACTCAAAATGGCAGAAGTCAAAGCCTTCATGGCATTGTTTCAGATAAATGATAACTTAACTAAAAAATGGAGATCAAAAACCTACAGTATTATTATCAATCTTCTTGGTTTCAAAAGGTCTTTCCAAATATCGAATACATATAATATTAAAAAAAGTTTGTTGTGCCGCGGAATTGTGCAACACCCTGTATATTTACAAATAATTTAGAGATACATACTTATATGATGTCAATTTTATTGGGCAAACCATTTTCGAATATACTATCGTATTAAAGCGCTTCTATTAAACATCTTTCCATAGTAGTTGGGAGACCCTGTATATACTGTAAGTGTTCACGTGATTTTTATTTTTTTTTTTTTTATTTAACAGATAGTACCGCATCAACCTCGTAGGGTTATTAGCGGCGTGGACGGCACAATAATCTATGTATTGAAGTACATGTCAATGTCTTTGATAAATTTCACAAGTTTATCGGTTTGATGCAGTAACACTTCACTGATGTCATTAGAAAGGTGGTTGAGACTTCTGGCATTTTGATAAGTAGGGCACTCCATCAGGATGTGAACCACCGTGAGCCGCTGGTTGCACGTTGAACAAACTGGGGCATCGGTTCCTTCGAAGATGTGCTTGTGAGTCACTAGTGTGTGGCCTATCCGGAGACGTGACATAATTATCTGGTTCCTTCTTCCTGAAGGTAGGGTGAATCGCGTGTTGACATCTGGAGCAATTGCGAGTAGTTTGCTGTGACTGTCATTCCATTTCTGTTGCCAAAGACTGGTTATGTGCACTTTTATTAGTCCTTTCAAATCTTGGTAGGGTGTACGAATCACACTTCTGCTTGAAGGGACTGCCGCTCTTGATGCTTCTTTGTCAGCCTCTTCGTTGCCTGGGATTCCAGTATGTGAGGGTACCCACAGAAACTTTATCCTCTTCTTGTCGTTGTACAGCAGACGCAGCATGTCCTTAATTCCCCTGAGTATGCAGTTGCGAGGGTACAACTGTTTGATACCTTCCAGTGCACTCAGCGAATCCGTCACTACTAAGAAGTTGGCATCTGTTGTTGTTCGTGCCAGATTGAGCGCTTCCTTGATGGCTGTCAGCTCTCCAGTGTAGACGCTGCAATGTTGTGGTAGTGAAGAGGATATTCGTCGATTGTCAGAGACTGCGGCATAGCCAACCCCATGTGATGACTTTGAGGCATCTGTAAAAATCAGTTTGAAGTTCGGATGAGACTCGATGATGACTTGGTATCTGTTATATATTTCTCTATGGTTGGTTTGCATTTTTTGATATATCTTGAGGGTTGTGTCGAAATCTGGTAGTGGTACTGTCCAGGGTGGAGAGTTTGATGAACAAGGGATAAGTGATTTTTATTATACTGTTAAGTTCCCCGAGTATATTAACGACGAGTTAGTCTTCGTAAAATAGTGTAGGCAGGCGTACACACAGGGGCTAAGGTGCCAATCTTTAACACCCTGTACTTCCAATAGAAAGGCATTTCTAGGCTTTGCGCCTATTGGAACACTTGATCAACACAACATAAACTATCAATATATGAATTTTCTTTCAAACCGACCGGTGATTAAATTTGATGTGTTTTGCGCCTGGTATTTTAAATTGATGAAATTGATTGAAGCAAATGTTTTAGTGCGCTTTTTGCGGATTCGGGAGAAGCTGCAATTAAAGACTCCAACGGGAAAACGCATTTAGATAATTTTACCTAGACATCAAATGCTGTGTAACGCACAGTTCTGAACCGAGATTCAGAGCAGACCATTTTTGGATGCCCCCCTCCCATTTTCTTCAAATCCAAGCCTGAATCCGCACAGATGGTTTTTAATCCCCTACATTTTTGAATTGAAGAAGATTACTCGCTATTCATAAAAAAATGATTAGACTCTAGATTCACTTGAATATATGTGTGCAGATATTTCGTATTGAAAAACAAATACTGCCCTTTTCAATCTAAATTTAGCCAATTCCAAGTTTTTTGTTGGAAATATAAGTAGTAATTCCAGTATTTGTTTTTCTGTACATATTATCTGAGCAAATTTTCACTAAAAGTAATTTGTTGTAAATAGAAACGATTTTACCTATATTTATTTTTAAATAAAATTGTATTTAAAATTATTGCTGTTTTATTTCAACGTCGTTATGCTATGCGTTGTTCGCAACGAAATTTTGATACAGTTGGCGGAATGATAACTGTAAAAGTGGGATGTTCTCAACAGAAAAGCCTGAAATACTCTAATCAGGCCTGGTTTTTCTCACGCTTTCTTTACCTTGACCCCTGTATGTATGTAACGTAATTTCAACCGATTCCAAAAAGTCTGAATAACTAGAAAAGTTGTACAGGGGTCAAGTGCCGATGACAATACTAATAATAAACTAGGAAAAAATCGAAATTGATTGTTTTTTGAAATTTGGAAAATAATTTGAAAATATAGAAATTTTGGAACAAGTTTAGAAATTCAAATGTTGAAAAAATTGACATCGGGACATCAGTGCGTTTGTCTAACAAACAAGTTAATTTCACCGGACTATCTTCATTAATCCCCCGACGCCAGCGACACCGACTACTACTTAATCTTGGAAAATTAATTTTACCAGATTATATCCTCGACAAGGAGGGGCTTTGGTATATACTTTTAAGGATGACAGAAAAAAAATATAAAATTTTTGATATTTTTTTATAATTTCATCATAATATAAACATACACATATAAAAAAAGAAATATCCTCCAATACAATTGAAAAATATAATTTATATGAAAATTTCACATTATTGGTAACTTACTGATACCTGGTAATCTTATTATGCATAAGAATGAAAATGAGCAAAAATATGTCAGAAACATAAAAAGAATTTTAACCTAGAATCACTATCCCATGTCTATGATGTAAGGTCTTGTATAAAATTGCACTACAAATAGCTTGATGAACCTTTTGGCGCTATGTAATGAGTTGTTAGGATCCTGAATCTATAAAAAAAGAAAATCATTACGATAATGCATGTTTTCGTACCAAAGTTTCTCTATTTTTTATCAAAAAAACGTTACAAGCAACTCGCTGAGGAAGCATAAGAGGCAAATAATAACTTACTTGACTCATATCATTTTGGCGGCAAAACATAAATTCTCAATTACTTTTAAACTGGAATGTTACCTGTCTCAAGGCAGCTTCAGCACATTCTTTGATTTTCCCTTGGGAATGACCAAAATCTAACCCCATCAGAATTTTTACACACTCGGTGTTTCCTCCAGGTTGTCCGACTTTGCAAGGAGCGTTCGCAGATTTCCTTATAGTACGAGACTCTCCTTTAGGTTCTGGCAGCTGAGCCAATATGTAACCTATAAAATAATACAAAAAGGTGAAATGTTATCGGGTATAATGTTATTGGCCGGCGAATGACGGCATCCACGTCGGGCAATGTTGATAAAAACATAAATAATAATTATACGAGGTCTGTAAATCAAGTGATGAGTCAGTGCAAGTTTGAACTCGCTCGAGTCATTTGGTTGTCCGCAGCGATTTTTTTTTGAGAAACAGTTTTTTCTTTTGAGTTCTAAAAATGAGTGACATCAAATTAGAACAACGGTGTGCTATCAAGTTTTGCTTCAGACTTGGGCACGGGTGCCACGGAAACTCTTGCTAAACATCAGCAGGCCTACGAGTAGTGTTTTGTCAAGAGACCAGGTTTTTCGGTGGTTTTAAGGATTTTCAGGAGGAAGAGAGCCTTCTGAAGATGAACCACCAAGCGGAATGCCTTCATCTTCAAGAACCAATGAAAATATCGACAGAATCCTGGATCTTGTGCGGCTTGAGGGTGACAATATAAAATTGTAATCATATTTGAATAAAAAAAATCTCTCATCACTTAATTTACAGACGTCGTTATACAATAACAATCTGCTGTCACCACTAACCGAGGAATGACGTTAATGATCTCCAAACAACGGCCAATGATGATATTATAGCAGGATGTTGAGTTGATTTAAAGTCAATTTTTGCTGCAGGTAAAAAGAACTCTAGGATTCCGGAATTAATAGTATTTGCTTTTTACCATAATTATTTTTTTCGGTACTGCGAATAATAACGGCCTGACAGGGACATTAAAATATGAATATTGACAACATACCCCTCCCGTAATGCCCATTCGCTTCATTGCTCGACCACTAACGTCAATTTCCAATTATGACCATTAGCACGATTTAATGTCACAGAAACATTGACGAAATGAGGAAACCTATACACCGTGTCCCATTTTAGTCTCTCCACCTGAATATTTCCGCATTCCAGAATCAAGACTTCAAAAACAATTTTCTCTAGAAAAAATATTCGACAGCACAGTGGTGAGGTTTGTGAAGATCACCCAAAGGTCACGTTGACTATACCCTCAAAGTCAAGTCAAATGGAAATAGAAAAAAGGAGTTTTAAGTTTGAATGCGACCTTGATCTCAAATAATATTCAAATATTAACATTGAGGTCAAGGTCATATTCGAACGTAAACTTTCCTTTGGAAATTTTGATTTTACCTTGAATGTCAAGGTCGTGGTCAAAGTCAACTTTGGGTAACCCCCCTTCCCCCAAAATCCCAATTATGCTGTCGAACATTTTTTCTAGAGCAAATTGTTTTCGATGTATTGATTTGATCCCTCTTTTCATTGTCGATATGAAAATATTCACTTGAACTTGAAATAATCTTCAAGGTGGTACTTAAGGTCATTGATGATATCATTTTACTTCACTTTATTACAGAATGAGCAGTTTTCGAAATATTTATGGGGCAGGATTAAAATACGACACCGTCTATATTAAAAATGGTAAATTATGTTTAATAGAAATAATCCATATATTTCTCCAAAAATATATACCTGCCAGGGCTTTGCACAAAAACTTGAAGTCAATAGATGTATCATCTTGCTTTGAGAGTCCTATGGCGCTAAGAAGGCCTCTTCCCCATCTTGACGTAGCTCTTTCTTCAGCTATTTCTAAAAGAATCTGAGAAAATTTGTGTAGCACAACTGCACAAAATATCTCGTTCTTGTCCACGTGTTTTATAATCAAGTCCAATAAGTTCAGCCATATTAGGGGTATTTTAGACTCGGTGGTTCCACTACAAAAACAATCGCATGAACTAAACTGGCGCCTCTGGTTACTTTTGGAATAAGTAGCTAATTCTTATAGATACAAAATGGTATGCATAATATCCTCACCTTGGTTTCATATTGCACAACCAATCTAAGGTTTGCTTTATAACAGCTTCATTGTCCACACCTTTTGAAATTCTTTGTAGTAAAATGGCGTTTAACGTCAAAATCGCACCTTTGACTAGGAGCATTTGCTCCAGCTCTGACTGTCGCGTAACCGACAGGTTTAGTAAACTACTAACTTCCGCCCAACTTGGTTCAAACTCGTTGGTAACTAAAAGAAAACAAAACAAAGGTTTTTAGGTTTTTAAAGACGCAAGGTGAAAATACCAAGAGACGATTTCTTCAAACAGTGTACCTGGGATTAAATTTGATATTACCAAAGAATACAGAGCTACCAGTAGGAGGCGAACTTATGGAAAAACCTTTGATCTTCGGAATTTTTAAGGATGGCGACATTTTTTATAGAAATCGGATCCTTTTTTTTCATGAGCTTTGCCGCATAGAACGGCGTTGATATTAGGTAAATGTCATTAAAAATCGCTATGTCAACTTGTGTACTAGGCCATGGGAGCTATAAATGGCAACGAGCAATGCCGTGTATGACCACGCAATTATTATTTTTACTGCATAGACAATAGATGATAAATATAATTCGGTGAAAAATATTGGGACTTGAAAAATAGTTTTTAGCCTCTATAAGTCACTGAATGTGATAATCCACCTGACGTCCTATCTTACTTGTCATTGCGCAATCTCAGTAACTGATGTACCACATTTGTTAAAACTTGGAATATCCTGTATAACCACAAGTTTTTAAATGGATGTAAGTAACTTTGTTTTATCATTTATATGGTTAAGTGAGTTAAGTGATAAACATTGAATTAAAGAATAGAAAAATACGAAAAAAAAGTGAAACCAGACTCCTGTAACATATAAAGGATTGAAACTAACTACTGTTCAATGAATAGCTACAGTTGATTTCAGAAGAAATACGGGCTAAACAGTGAGTGTTACAGAAAATAAAAGGATACTCGATCTCCTCTATAAAACAACATATTTCGAAAATCTGTTGGAATAGCAAGACTTGCCTAATATCAATAGCAGGGCATTGAAAAATCGACAGCCCACTTCCTGCTTTCGTTTTGCAGCTACGCAACCGACACTTTGTACACAAGATCCACTCGATTCTGCTTCGGACGGACTACCTGCTTGGACTCATTACATTTCCATCAGAGACAAAGAATGAGTGAAAGCACACAACTGTCAGGCAGTATTCAGAGACCACCGGTATTGTTTTGGGGACCGCAGCAGAAACCAGGATTTCTGTTAACTCTGTAGTCTTTGATGTTACGAAGACGATCTTTTACCTGCGTTGACAAAATAACTGCAGATTGTAGCTTCCAATACTTCAGCTAGATTTTCATAGTTCTTCACTGCTATTCCTAGAGATTTGAGCAAACTTCTAATTGTGATTGTGTCGCCACATTTTGCTCCTGCCCACTTAGAAACAGCCTTCAAAGCTGGTTCCTTGATATCATCTGTTGAAGTTCAAAAACGGGTAGTTTAACAATAATATTCAAAGCAATTGGGAATTTATATATTCTTTTACAATGTGCACCAGATGTTTTATAAAAAACACTGGTAAATAGTAAGAGTTCAGGGTTTGATCCCTGTGTTCCGCCCTGACCTCTGCAGATGCTTATTTCGTGAATGCCGTTGTATAAGATATCAAAAATATATGTTGAACTGTTTTGACGTTATGTAGGTTCATGTCTGATAGGGATTTTACTAGAAGTGGATCATGTTGGGCAAAGTTGGAATAAAAACTCAAATTCATCAAAATATTGTGGCGACTGTCGAATGGTGTGAAGTTTCTTTTAAAATAGTCAAACGCTGGTGTCGAGATTTTTTTAATAAGGAGGACATCTTGTAAAACAAACATTTTGTTAGCAAAGAAAAATAGTCAAGTATTATATACTTTCATCTTACCTATGTTCAACACGCACAAAAGTTCTGTCAACAGAGCTGTCATGTTCTCTTCTGAAGCTGTCGTATACTCTAATTCATTTAACTGCTTAGTAATTAGAGTATATATTTCCTGTCCTTTCCGAGGAACATTAGTGCGATGCCGGTTGATATAAACAGAGAGCAATTTCACGTAAGTTTTTACGAAAATCAGTCTTTTGTTCAAATTGTCCTGAATCGGAGTGGCTGAATTGCTTGTTGACACCGTTTTTAAAAAGCTGCAAAAATACAGTAGTGAAAAAATAACCAGAAGTAGAAGCGAAACAAGTTTGTAGATTAAACTACTATATAGGGTATCCTCAAAGTTCTAACTTCTCTTTATAGAGAATAGGTCAGGCAATAATAAGCATATTTTTTAGTAACATATACGTATACCAAAGCCATAACATAACCAAGATATTAGGTTCTAAAAAGCAATAAATGACGACTCTGCCTCTCTCCCCTATCACAATCTCCTCCTATGTCAAAACTCATAATGCTGATGTACTAACACTATGTGAGTCAGTATCCAAATCAGGCATAGAGTGGTGACAAGGTTAACCTAATTAATAAACAAACATTTGAAAAACCAAAACTGGCACATTTCCAGAGCAGTGTTGTAGTTATCGATTTGAAATGAGCATCTTCAAGATCCTATTCATACTCCGCGAGTGTACTCAGAGCGTTGCCGTCGTCCTCAATCTTTCTTTCCATCAGAGCTGCCTTTGCTTGTCTATATCATGCAAAAGTCGTCTGGTTGAACATGGTGGAAGACCTAGACAGCCCCAAATGTTGCAAATTTAGGAAAAGATAAGCAAACACGTGTTTTTGTATCGAACTGCGTCGACTTCAAGCTGTGTTTACAAATGAATCATGTGACAAGGCAGTCATTAAAATTCCTACCAAATGATTTTCTTAGTAATTCTCTTCTATTTCTGTTTTAGAGTTTCGGTGTTGTTTTACGTCAAATTAGCTTGGGTATTGCAAACGTAGACTTTGTTAAGGAAAGTCCGAACTAGCATCAAACCCTGTATTTATAAGATTGGCATAATAGGATTTGTAGATATTTATTCTTTTGAGAGACATGCAGTAAATAAAGGCGATTTCTCAGGTCAGTACTACAAAAAATTATTATCCTCACATCCGAAAGCCAGGAAAACTTATTAGGTCATGGATCACGCCAGAACATTACGTCACAGCTCTGGAGCAAAATGTTACGTTTCACCAGTTTATGGAAAATAATCCATTAAAATTTTCAATCGCGGTGTTTTATACGTTAACAAACCTAATTAATGAGGTGTAACACGTAACGTAACTTATAATGTGGTTTTCATGCTGAAAGGACTCCATGATTGTCTGGCTGCTAAGGGCAGCATCGTCAGTCATTCCCACAATGTATTGTACTTTCAACACAGTACCCTGTGGTAAACCATAGTCAATAATCCTCTTTTCATTACTGAGTGCGTCACCAATCCTCACTACTTGCTTAGATTTGAGAGATAGCTTGCGAACAACTGTAAAGGAGTATGGGACTATTGTAAGTTCATTGTTGAAAAGAACCGATAAGTTCGAACCTGTATGGAGTGCGGGTCGATTTACCGCCGCCTGACGCTGTACTTACTTCAAAACTCTGTAATCCAGATCCAACGGATCCGTCTTGAATATCACAGCCGAGTCACAACTCATCACGTACCAATCCATTACATGTTGATACAGGGGTGCTTCTAAAATATCCCAGTCGAAGTTTTCCGCTTGAACCAACAGAGACTTCGCTCGCTCTGCATGGTTCTTTTTAACGTTCGGCTCATTGCTCAGTTTCACTATGAGGTTAATGAGGCACTGATAAACACGGAGTTTAATTTGAGGTGGGGCGTTATAGAAGTTCTTCAACCATTCGGCCCAGGGGATCACAACGAAAATGTGACCTAGGAAGGCGTGACACTCAGGCAGGTACTGATCCACAATCTGAGAAAGAAACAATTAAATTATTATTCACAACATCACCACTGATATGCTTAGAAAGCAGTATAATTTTAAAGAATGTTTTTTGTTTTCAATCATTATACAGGGTGCGGCAGAGAGGACGGACGTTTTTGGGATGGGTAGTACTCTCCGCCTCCGTCTACGAGAGAGGTGGGGACGGTGCCGTTTGACTCGAGAGATCCTAGCATTATTTTACCAGTTGTCGTTATGAAGCCTTGGATGGTGGAGCACCGCGTTTTCTCCTATGATTGTTTCGTCCGAAATAATGAGTCAATCATCGTCGTACAGCGTGAGTTTCGTTGCCACTTCAACATTGATGGGAATAGAGCTGTTCCCTCTCGAAACACCATCCTTCGTTGGGTTGAATCACTTCGCAGGCGTGGTGAACTGATCGACAGAAGACCAAGAGGAGCGCCGCGAACAGTTCAAACTCCTGAATATGTTGAACGCGTTCGACAGGTCTTTCTTCGCAGTCCGACTCGATCTGCCCGGAAACATGCTGCAGCACTTCGCCTTAGTGATCGTTCGGTAAGGGGAATTTTGCATATGGATCTCCGCTTTCACCCCTACAAATTGGCCATTGTGCAACAGTTACAGCCCGGAGATTATGCACAACGAATGAACTTCGTACGTGAGATGGAAGCACTGATCGATCAAAATGAGAACCTCATTTTGTTTATGAGTGACGAAGCCCACTTTCACCTAAACAGCATGGTTAACCAGCAGAATTGTGGTTATTCTGCTAATGAAAATCCGCAACAGTTACACGAAAGACCGCTGCACAGCCCAAAAGTAACGGTTTGGTGCGCTGCATCGCAAACTTGCATCATTGGCCCTTACTTCTTCGAAGACGGTAATGGTCGTGATGTTTCCATGAACTCAGAGCGCTACGTCGACATGATCACCAACTTCTTTCTCCCTGAATTACGACGGCGACGTGTTCCAATCCGACGTGTGTGGTTCCAGCAGGATGGGGCGACCGCCCACACAGCTCGAGCATCCATGGACGTTATTCGCCCTCTCTTCCCTGGTCGCCTTATTTCCAGGTTTGACGGTGTTCATTGGACTCCTCGGTCCCCAGATTTATCCATATGCGATTTTTTCTTATGGGGACACCTCAAGGCTAGAGTGTACGCGAACAAGCCCCAAACTGAGAGCGATGTTGGAGAGAGTCTACGCGAACTTCCAAGAACACCTCCAGCACTGCATCAACGATTTCGGCCACCACATGCCTGATGTGATTTTCCGCACTTGACTGTCTCAAATGCTATTTCCTTGTGAACCTGATTCCATCAATAAATTTGTTTTCGAGTAAAAATTAACTATTTTATGATTTTTTTTAAACCGTCCATCCTCTCTGCCGCACCCTGTACAACGATAGTCATTTTAGACTTACCCTAAGCATGAGTTCAACGTCAATCATACTCGGCCAAAAATTGTTCCATGGAAAAGACAAAAATGTTTGATGAACTGGTATAAGGATGTGATCCTTGACACTGTTGTGAGCATAGGAACTGACGTACCATTGCCAAAATAAATTGAGAATGCTACCAGAACCTAAAATAAAATACGTTCATCCAGAAAAGTTCTCTTTAGAGCACACAACAATCTGCCTTTTGAACATAACAGTGTCCAAATAATAATACAGATATTACGTATTGCTTACCTGGTATCATATGTAGAACAAATAAAATACATTCCCTAAAAACGTTCAGCATTTTCTGTGCAAAGTTTGTATCAGCAGAAATCCATGGAAGCAACACTTGTCTATCATCTGCCAATTGTTGAATCCACGAAGCCATATTTTCTTTAAGATTTTGCATTGAATAAGGTACAAGCCATGGTGTGAATACTTCTCTGAGATGTGGCCAGATTTTTTCACACAACTGACTCCCAGACAAATCTACAGAAATAATGTAAAGATATAATTTGACGCACATAACGGATTTAAACGTTTACCAACCTTGGTGAGCATTGAAAGTACTTGTCACGACACCATGTCCTACCATGCCCAAAAATAATACAAATACATCCATATAACTTCTACATTTGGGGTACAATCCATATAACCCATATTGCAACCTTTCTTGAGTAAAGTGTCTAGCAAGCATCTCTGCAGTTTCCGTAAGTTGTTGATTGTGCAAAACCTTTTGGTATTGGGCATAGTTCCTCAGCTGTTCTCTATAAAAAGTGATATTGCGCATCATAATCACATGTTGGATAAGATGAGATATAAGAGCATACGTCGTGTCCAACCGAATGCAGTTGTTAACCGAAATCGTAACGAAACCAAAATTTCGACCATTGCTAATATCAGATTTTTTAAAAACTATCTCCCATTTGATGCGAGGTGTATCAACAAGAAAAAAAATACCGTCAAGTAGGTTGACTGTACTTCCCATGCAATGCCATCATCAGTTCATAAAATATTTTGTTCAGCACAAGTTACACCCTCTGATAAAAAAGCTAGTTACGAACATGTATGACAGAGAAATTAAACGGGTTAAGTCAGTCAAACAGGCCTATACCGATAGTTCCATCCATCTGGCAATGTCTCCTCTCCCCGATACCTGATCACACGATGCGTCGGACGTGGTAGAGCGGCAGAGTTGCAGTTGTGCCAAGATACTTAAGAAGACGGGCACGCTCACAAGTCAATTCAGAGAGCAAATTCAGGATCAAGTATCAATAACATTTCTCTATTTTCCTAAGTTTTAAGTACAAATATCAGGTAACCAAATAAGTTCGTGCGGTTTTTAATAGGATAATATAAATTTTCATTGAAAAACAATAAGACACTATTTATTCGTCGAAGTAATTACCATCACATTCAATGACCTTTTTGCTAACGTGGAACCAATTTTTGTATGCCGGTATTGTAGAACTCCCTGGATTTGCAGTAAAAAATTGGCTGACTGCATTTATTACACCATCTCGAGTTGTGGACTGTCGGTGCCACATACAGTTGTCAAGAGACAAAAAAAGGTGATAATCACTGGGCGAAATGTCGGGAGAATATGGCGGGTGCGGTAACGTTTCCTAGCCGAGTTCAGAAATTTTGCCTCGGGTCACTTTTGCGGAATGAAGCTTGGCGTTATCCTGCAAGAATATCACTTTCTTCCGATTGATCAAAGAAGGCTGTTTCTGGATAAGTGCTGCTTGTACTCGTTGAAGCTGCTCACAATACAAGTTTGCTATGATGGTTTGACCCCCTTTCAAAAACTCATAATGGACAATTGCAGTTGCTGTCCACCAAACACACAACAAAACAAACAAAACCTTGTTTGGGTGCAAGGAATCCTTGGGCGTGAGTGGTACCGAATCAGTAGGCGACAACCCATGATACGAACGCTTAGAATTCGAATACAAGATCCATTTTTCGTCGCAGGTCAATAACCGATTAAGAAATGGTTCACTACCGTTGCGTGAAATATTTGCTGAACAAATGGCAAGACGACCTAATTTTTTTATCATTTGTCAGTTCATGTGGGACCCATTTGCTTAACTTCCACGTCTTTCCTAGCTTATGAAGATGCAAACGAATAGTTTCAGAACCCACTCTGAACAGTTATGCAAGTTCTTGGCACGCTGTCCTGGAATTTGCGCCCACTACCTGTCGAAGATCCTCGTTGTTCATGATTTTCGGTCTCCATGAGCACGGTTCATCGCCCAAAGTGAGATTTCCCGAAGAAAATATTATGAACCACTTCTGTGGTGTTCGATCACTAACGGCAGCATCTCCAAATGCGGTACATATTTTTCGCGTCGCCGCTGCAGCTTTTGTACAAGTTTATACTCATACAGTAAACAACGTCGAATTACTGTTTTATTCGTCGCCATTTTCAATTATTAAAACTAGGTATGTAACAATTTTCAGCCAAGTGTGTGAGAAACGGATTCATACTAAAGTGAGAACATGTAACACACAATCGCTACCGATCAACAACATCCATGGCAATGTTGCGATATACAGCAATCGCACGAACTTATTTGGTTGCCTGATATATGCGGAAATCTATGATGTCTGAAATATGTTTAATAGGTGCGTAGAATTACCGAAGTTGGGAGGGAATGAATATATTAACATCGAAAAATTGAGATACGCCCTCCCCACCCGTTGCAGTCCCCATCACCAATTTTTGACCAGTACAAAAATTTCCTGAAAATGATCAGGAGCCTCTGAAACGTCAAAAAAAAACGGACTTTCAGATAGTACTATTTTTTCGTTTTTTGCCCTTTGCTCCACCGCCACGGGACCGATTTTTTAAAACTTTTTCGTCCCTGACACAGTAGTAACCTTGTGAAAAATTTCATCTAAATATGAGCGGTAGTCTCCAAGTTATAGATATGCCAAGGATTAGCAACAGACTGATATATATATATATATATATATATATATAATAAACTGGATATAATGGTCACTCTCCAAGTCAAGTATAATTAATAAAAAGTTGAACTAACAAAACAGAAACGCTCTTCTCTCCCTTAAGAAACAAAATAATGTGTTTCATCCATTTGGTTATTATACTGGACCTTCTAAAATTTGGACAATAGTTTCCTTTTTTCATCCTTCCAGTACATAGAGGGTGGCCCAAGTAAAAGGTTGCACCTCCATTTGTGTGAAAAAGTATAACGCTATATCTTATTTTTTGATCACCCTGTAGAGATGAAAAGACGTACCCCTAGAAACCAAAATTGACGTGTACGAGCGTTTTTCTCAAAATAAACCAGGCGAGTGACAAATAGGGGTGCGACCTTTTCGTTGGGCCACTCTGTATAACAAAAAGAAAGATGATGTGAAACAAGGCCCAAACTGGCCGAAACAGAAAGTTGGGTCGGACGCCGCTAAGTATTTTCGGCAAAGAATTATGAGATTTACCTCAAGGGAGCCTTAAGATCGACAGTGGCAGGTTTAGCCAGAAAGTTCAATACATCCATCCAAACACTGATTGCTAACAAGTTGGATTCTGGGCTTCCGCTACTTGCTTTCAAGAGATACATCAACACCTCGCCATAGTGTTCAGGAAACTGATGTTCTAGGATTATCAATAGATGCTTTTTATACAGACCATGCAAGGTGAAGGCTTCCATCGGAGGTTCCAAACCTAAGCATATCAAATGTTAATTTAGTGCATTCTCTGGAAGATTCCTTATTAATACTATGATTTTGTTTAACAACTTACCAAGAGATGTTAAAGCCGCAATGACGTATTCAATGAATGAGGATTTTTGCGCCAAAACTGGATTTTTCGCGTTCAGCCATGTCTCAATATCGAACTAAAAGATAATATATTAAGCACTAATAAAATGCATCAATGTTGTATTTATTAATAGAGTAAGATCCCAGGGCTTTCAGGCGTACCTTGTTTTCTGAAAGATAAGAAGTGGGGCGATGAACACCGTTTATGCGTACTTTGAATGCATGAGTTGGGTAGATGACTGATTCACTGGCACCAGGCAAGCAAAAAAAGGAATAACCTAACTTAAATTCTGATTACTAATTTTATAATATACTTTGTACAACATTATTATAGCAATATCCATCACTGTCAATCATTACCAGCTGGCCATGACTTCTGTCGGACACTTTATAGTTTAAACAGGATGTTTTGCTAAATCCTCCTCCTCCTAATCAGAAAATTTTCCCATCAGATGCGAAGATATTGCCTGGGCTAAAAAGACTTTATTCTAGACGGTCATTCCAGAAAGACAAGTGGAGGTCAATTTAACGGGACACCCGGCCGGCATGAAGTGGGTAGCAGTGCTGGATAATGCTACGATGTCCCAAAAGTCATCGAGCAAACAAAAGGGTTGATAGGAGAAAGCATTTGCAATCAGAAAACCATATATGTCCTCATCCGCACGGGTATCATGTAAAAAACCTACAAAATGTCAAAAAAAACCTATAAGATGTCAACTTGCAGACTAGGTAGTTTTTAGGGCGCAAACAGCCATTCCACGTTTGCTCACTAGGATCGTTGTGAACGTCCATCTATGGAGGAATCACTCAACTAAACTACGCATAATTGGTTGCATAGTTTTGTGAGGCTGATTGATCCGGGTCTGTAGTTTTTATCTCTGAGAAGAAAGTTGGTTGAATAGCAAGATCGCATCTGGATGATTTACGTGTATTGGTCTGCAAGTGTATAAAATCAGTGATATTTGCTGTTACTGTTAGCATGTATATAGCTTGTAATTCGACAGTGTACAGTGAATATAATTATTTATTATCTCTCTCATTTTTGAAATTCAGCAAAATTTGTATATGTAATTTCCAGAATGGATAAGAAAAAGTGGCTGCGCAACTAATTTCCAGCTTTGAATCTCAATTAAGAGTATTTGAAACAAGAACCCAATGTAATTATGATCAACACATACAACTTACAGCTTAGACGTCCAGTAATGCCATATCAGAAGCAGATTTTACATGACATCCGAGCCAAAGATTGATAACAAGCCTCATGACGTTTAGGCAACACGTACAACTAAGTGCTAAGATCTTGTAGAATAACCTACATAATGTCAACAAAAATTGGCATAATGTCACTTTTCAAGATACGTGATACCCGTGCCGATATTTTTGCGTAATCGCCATTTTCAAGAATTTGTGGAAAATCGCTACTTTTGAGACTATACTATTTTTTCTGAAGTTGTCTTTTGACATGTTATAATCAATTTACAGGATATGTTTCCCAGTTAATGTAGCTCCAGCGATCGGCTAATCTGCAATTTTGTCTGCTACTAAAAAGATTCCAGCATATTCAACGAGGCCTGTACAAAAAATTAGTAGGCGGATGCAGTGTTCATAGTGATACGAAACTCCTCGATACTATGGTCATTCAAAACACCTATAAGATTAAGATAAGATCAAATGAATCCGGGGATTCCGATTTTTTAAACTTAGCCGTTTAGCTGCGGTTGTTGATCTTCCAGCTTCTGAATATGATGACGAAACAAGTGAGGGACATCAAATCCTCAAATTCAAAAAAAATTCTGGTATTATCAATGTACGGGAGGGCGGCCGTGACATGATTTTGGGACATAGAACGGTTATGGAAATCCCGCCAATTACCTGACCAAAATAATGTCAAGCCCGCCATCCCTTGGAATGATTATATCTAGAATTCATTCAGGTTTGAAAATTTATTCTCACATAAGTGTCTGCTCATTTCACTTGGTAGAAAGAATATCAACAATGGCAGTTAAAAAATGGGAATTTCCGTATTTAGGGTACCTGCAGCATTTTGTCTACTTTGTGCAGAAACTATCTAATCTTTTTGACAACACACAAAATTGCAGATTCGCCGATTGCTGTGCCTACATTAACTGGACTAAATTCTCACTCATAGCTTTTTCCCAGCGACACATCATTCGGGAACATATCCTGCTCTGATTTACAAATAACAAGAGACGACTTCAGAAAAAATAGTACACACTCAAAAGTAGCGATTTTCCACAATTTCTTAAAAATAGCGAAAGCACAAAAAGTGTGCACAGTCAGGTAAGGAAATATATAGTTTTTCTGATTGCAAATGGCCCCCTATCATCCCCTTTGGTTTGCTCCACGACTTTTGGGACACCCTATTTAACAATACTTCACAAAGTATATACAAAAATCAGCCATCAGAATTTAAGTTTGTGTTTAGTTATCTTTCTCACCTGGTACCTGTAAGTCGATCGTCTACTTAGCTTAGCTGGCACGCAGGCGTTCAAAGTACATACACACTATTCAACGCCATCCTTTTATCTCTGGCAGCCCTGGGATCTAGATCTATAAAAACTGATTTTTAAACAAACCTTAGACAGAAGAGCAAAAGCGACGTCATACTTGGACCCGATTTCCTTACAAATCGTGTTGTACATCAAAAGAAGATTTGAACTTCCAACATTTTTAGGACTGAAATGAGGCGCTAGATGACCTCCCAAATCAGGTTCTTTCAATATTTTGTTGAGGAGTCTAGGCATTTCGTACTCTATTCCATAGATATGAGACTAAAAGAGAACATATTTCCAGAGCGTTGAAAACTTCAGTGATCATACTTCTCTGATAAACAATATTGTTAAAAATGACAATGAATAAGTTAATGAAAATATCTACTTACCTGACCGAGCTTTTCTAAGCAACATGAAAATAGCGTTTTAGTTGGAGGATACGAATTGGTTTCGTCGTTAATCTGAGACAATATATAGTAGAATAATTCCACACCCATCTCAGCGCTTGCAGGGTTACATCTTAGCTGTGATTGGAGAATTCTGAAACAAGCAGAGACAATTGAAAGAAAATAGAAAGCTAGGTTCAAACTAATCTTGGGCACGTCCATATACTCAGTTGAATTTACTCACTTTATCGTTTGTTGTAGAGTGACCGCTGCGGAACATAAGCATATAGAGCAGGGTTGGAGAACAGTCGTCAAAAGTGACTCATAATTGCTTCTGTTTGTTTGAATTTGATGGTCTATCCTTTCGTTTATTCTAGCTTCCTGGAAGACAAAAGATTTATCAGTTGTTAATCATTTTCAACACGTACAAAATTTTGCAAAGACCCTACTCGTATGATCTTACCAACTATCCATCTCCGTACCCACTATAAATAATCGCCGATCAAGCTGTTTAACCGATCCTCGAGTAGTTTATCAAATCCACAATATTAAATGCACTAGATATGCCAAATCTACATTGAAATATACAAAATTACGAAATTTACTCACCTGCATTTCCAATACGATGACAGCAGCTCCAGAACAATGTACAGCTTGATTTTTTCCTTTGCAAGGCACTATTTTCTTCATTTTATTTAATACGGACCTATACAATTGTGGTGCTAAATCCTTATATGCACTATCTAACGATTTATGTTCAGATTGTTTTACGTGATAATTGCGTGCGAAACGTTTAAATGTTTTAAAACATTGCTCAAGAGACTTGAACATCTCAGACCTGAAAAAGTGCAATACTGTATTGTAATAAACGGTAGCTTAAAAAAATTATGACTATTAATGAATTAACTAAACCGAAATAGGTCAAAATATTTTTAGGAAAAACATTCTAAGACTTGACGCTAATTTTTTTTATATATTTTATATTTTTTACCGACTCATAAAGGGTGTCTCAATCCGAACAAGAGAATTGTTCAGATGTACTAGGAAAGTTTACTGTCATTTTTTGCTGACAAATAGGGTCACATGTGGTAAGACGAGGGTGGCTTTGGAATTGCAATCTAATCCTGCGTGATATTCTTTTGTGTCTTTTTTTTTCAGGAATAGAGTCTATTCAAACAATCTGCAAACGATTAACGACCTGACAAATTGTACAAAAGGTTACTTTAATTCTTATTCAAAGAAGTGATCATCTGTAGAAACAGACGAATGAGGCATTTGGAGAATATTATTTATAAAACAACTTCCATATTTTTATATCCTGCCATTATAAATAAGCATGCCATTTTTTCGAAATTTAAAATCCAAATTCCAAAACACCAATTGGGAGACGCTTTAAATATAATTATTTAAACTGTGGAGGTGGGTTATTCTCCGTAAAAATTAATTACAACATTAACATTTACGAAAGAATATAAAACATTTTTTAAATGCCATTTCGTAAGCGTTTTTCTAATGATAGTTAGCGACAATACCAACAGAAAAAAGATCAGATTAAAATGCTGAGAAAGATTTTTGTATAAAATCAATTAAAGTCAGCAAAATATATATCACCTGTTTCCAAATTCAACTTTAGGCACAAGAGGGTCAGACATATCCATAATGGGAGGACGTCTTGGACAGTCATAAGACGATAACCTTCGTAAAATTCTTTCTAATGGATCATCACTTTCAACCCTGCTCCCAGCATTGATCAGTGGCCTGTTTATATTCTTTTTCTCACGAAAATTCGCTATCCTCCAGGATCTTATAGCTATTTGCTGCTCAACCTTCATACGGTCATAGTCTAGGAACTCATACCAAGGGGCCTACAAAAATAAACGCACCTCTTAAGATTATACTATTCATGACAGAATATAATGGACAAAAAATTGACATGTCAATAGATAACCAACGATTAGGAATTAAAAAGACCCAATTCATTTCTAAGTAATCTAGTAGGAGTGAGAAATGACTCCATCAAGTTGTAAATGTGGAAAAGCCTTAGCATTTCAATGCAGAGATCCTCGAAGAAATTGCAACTAAGAAAACATAACTAAGCAAGTTGAAATGTCAGGCACAGGACAACTTACGGTGCTTCCTTGGAGAATCCTACCCAATAGTTCAGCCTCATATTGAGATGGCAGATCCTTCAACAGTATTGTATTCTCTTGCAGCCTAGGTTCTTCTAGCCATAACAGAAAAGCTCTGAATACACCGTGACAAGCTTTATGGAAAACTTTCTTGCCAATTTCTTCATTATCTTCATCCTTCAGATCTAGTTTGCTTTGGAAATAATCTACTGTTTCCTGTAATCGAGGTCAAAACGTAGGCATATTGCAACTGTCCAACACGGAATAATTTCAGAATGTTTTATCAAGAACGTGCATTCAAATTCTGGAAAGCCTTCTTACCTGTAGTCTCCTCTTAATCTTCTTCATGAAAGAAAAGTTAACTATGCCATCAAAAAATCTTTCGCCAACGCAAGACTTATCTATACTAGATGCTGAAATTCTAGCTAAGTACAGAGTGAAAAATCTCTGCCACATCAAAGGCAGCAAAGGATGGTCCAGAGGTGTATCAAGCGCTTGTTGGGCCCAACGATAGATCGTCAAATAGCCAGAGGTGAAAGGTGGTAGATTCAAATTTGAGGCAGCTTTCTACAAGGAGACACAAAAATAATTAATGATAAGGCCTTCCATAGAATATGAAGAGTTGGTAACATAACGTCTTGAAGGAGCATCTGTCCTAGAGACGCAGCAGGCGACTTATCACCGAAAGTGTCCGCAACGTTTTCAAATAATTCGAAGTAATCAAGTATGTAACAGAACAACTGACTAGTTGCTATCAAATATTCAGCATTTTTTACAGTTTACCAAATTTTTCAACTTACTCTTATAGCTTGATCGACGCTTATTTTTCCAGTCTGCCTACTGAGTTGAACTAATATTTCATTCCATAGTCCTGTATGTAGTTCTCTCTCATCAAATTCAATAGCAATCATCATATATGCTAACCACGTATAGTTGGAAAGGGCACTTGACAACAGCGTACCATTTGAAGTGGGCGAATTCGTCACCCATTTGAAAAGAGATGTTATTGCACCTCCACTCTCTAGAGGACTACTGGCCTATAAATAATAAATATGTTATTAGTATTTGCGGATTGACCATATCAAATTCACTGACTACAGACATAAGATTTCATTTTTTTAAAAAGAATTACTATCAAAGGAAAAGATACCGTAGATTTACGCAAAATAAGAATTTGCACAAAAGGATCGGTTAGGCGTTGGTATATATTTTTTCTTACACTTACTTGGTGTTGTTCTCTAAGAATATGATATACAACCTCAATACAATCAGCGTTCAAAAATGCAGTTTTGATTATAACGTCCAATAAATACATTGCACCCATGTCTTTATACCATCCTGCGATTGAAACTAAGGAGTTCATCCATAGTCTCACTAGCAATCTGGGGCTTTCCAAACCATAAAATGAGTAGTTTACTATCTGAGTTTCTACCATGTTTCCGAATTGTTGCAGGACAGTCTCGTTTTGAGCATAGACCAGGCTTTTGGCCATATAGATATAGCCTCTGAAAAAAAGTAGCATGTAACTTGTACACTTGTAGATGGTTAGTAAGAATTGTCAGCTTGGATACAAAGATAGAAAGTCTTTATGACATTACTTGAAAAAACTAATCCATATCAAATGTCAACCGCTAAAATATACCTGTCAGCATTCAGCAAGTTTAACAAAATCTCCTGGAACTTTTCGCAGTTGATCAGACATTCCTGACTCTCAATGAACATTGGTACTATTTGGTATAGCGCAAAAAGTACAGCCTCGTGTTTTTGGTGGGTTTGTATGAACGAAAGTAATGGAAGCCCTTTGGAACCTATCAGAGGTATCAGGTGTCCCCAAGTGGTCATAAGGATTGCTACGAAACTAGCGAGAGGATGCTGTTCTCGTATACCTACAAGATATAATCTTCATTAAACATATTCAAAATACGATTCAGACGATATGTGAAGAAGCTATTGTAACAACGCCCTCGCAACTAAAACAGAGGGACACCTCCTCCTCATGCACCCAGAATTACCCGACAGTGTATGGAGCGCGTTCGCGAATATTCGACACGCTTCAAGAAAAGGCTCGGGCTCAATTTCCCTGGAGAATGTGAATTTTAGCGGTTCGGCAACTTTTCCATTTTGTCGCTACTTCTGTCATTGGAAAGCATTAGGCCCCATAATATATGCCTATTCCGAAATGAAATTGTCCAATGACCTCCAAATTCCGATATGTCAATTCGTTCGGAATATATTCCAGTCTTAAATTGGTCGGGTATGCATTTGTATCTAATTTGCGGTATTTTGAACTAAAATGGGCCAATTTCACGTTACTAGAGGGTCAGTCTTGAATCATATCAGGCTCAATTTTGTTTTCCACTTTTGTAAAATCTCAAATTCTTACGTCAAACGGTTCGCTCCGGAGGCGCATTCAAAAATGTGAATTTTAACCGTTTTTTGCTACTCCTGTCATGGGAAAGCATTAGGCCACCCAAAAGGTAACTTTTTTGAAGTAAAATTGTCGAAGGAATTGAAAAATGGCTTTCAAGTTGCGATCTGATAGTTCATTCGGTAGATATTTCAGTCCAAAGAAATTTTTTGTGAGCCATATTGGCCGCGTAACCCTTTAGATCCAATTTTCAATATTTTGGAAAACGAAAAAAAATGTTTCATCATGCTAAAGAAGGTATATGGCTGTTATGTTATCATAGATTGATGTAATCATAGAAATTAGGCATTTTATAATAAATACTTCTTCACATTTCTTAATGTTCATTGGCTAACGCAACTTTTAATATTCCGTATTTCTCAACATATTTAGAAATTTCATTTTGCGTTTCTTAAAAAAAAATAATGAAAATATATCCTTTTTTTGCAGAAATATAAAGTTTTACTTTAGCGAGGTTCATTGAAAATGAAGGTCCTCCATATTTTTGTATAAAATGACTTTTAAAAAACTATGGAAAGAGGGAATGACTGATAGGATGGGGGAATAATTTTTACAATTTGATGCTGAATTTCAATAAAAAACATAAGTTAATTTATTGATAGATGCAGATTTGTTTTATACTCTAAAGGGCACATCCTCGTATTTTCATCATTCTCTAAGAAATGAACAACATCACCCCTAACTTTCAGCATTTTGAACTAACTTTACGAGTATAGTTCTTTTTGTACGTATCGTTTTTGAAAAAATGTTTCGATCTATATATTAATTTGTATCTTTTGTATTTATTGCAGCTTCAACATGTAATATTTTTCCTTTTCTCCATGTGTACTTCCAAGATCTTCATAGATATTCTTGAGGTCCGTTGGCAGTGCTTCTCCGAAAATGAGTCTTTTTCTTACAACGTCAGGAACTTGTATATTCTTTAAAAGCGAAAACACTTTAGTTGCTGGAGAGTTTCGGTCAGTATTTTCAGTTTTCAATCTCAAATATCTCTTCTTATATTTTTCGCTAAGCTGGACTGGGTTCCTTACTTTATTCAAACTTGCGCATTCTACATCTATTGAGAGTATACAAATTATCTGATCTGTGCTGTAAAGATGGTGCAGGACTTGGTGGGGGTATGTCTTCAACTATTCTCTGTAAATTTGTTTGTAATGTAACTCGCTTTTCCCTATAAACTTTACTATTCTTTTTCCATTGTTTTCGTTTTTGGCTAGTTTCTCTTGCACTCATAGGACTTATTGACTTAACTTCTTCTTTAAATACTTTAATCCTTCTTTTTCACGCAAAGCTTCTAAAGACTCAGCATTAATTTTCATTTGTTCTCGCCTCTTTCTGTCGTACTCCTTTTTTAATTTATTTTCTTCTTCACTTAACTTCTTCATTTTCCTCATTCTTCCATATACAGATATATATATATATATATATACAATTTTATATATGCAACATTCATTCCCTCACTTTCTAATATAGTGAGGGAATGACCGTGAGGGAATGACGGATTTGCATAATAGACACCGTAACCAACAGTACATCGCCTCAAATTGATTTAGCATTTTATGAATGCATTTTACTCCCCAAAACAAGAAAAAAATCATTACCTTTTAATATAATCAGTGAAGTAATGACACAGAGAAATGTAATGTTCTAATTATTGGAATCCAATACTTTTTGGCAGCAACGTTTCACTAAGAAATTCCGCCATGTTGACATTATCACATAAATCGAATATTTATAATGGGTGAGGGAATGATTTCATTTCAAGGGACATAGTTTATATATATATATATATATATATATAGTTTTTTATATACATATTTATTTTTTAGCAATGAAAGCTTGACCTATACAATCCATACTTATTACCAAATATTTTAGTAATATTCAATTTATAAAAATATGAACAGATTTGATTGTATATATTTTTTTATTAGTAATTTCAGACCCAGGGACGAGATGAGGGAATGACTTTTAGACTAATAACATAATCGTATTTTTTTGTGTCAATATATTTTCTAAATTTTTGCTTTTAAAATAGTGAAAAGACTTATTGATATAATAAAAATGTTTAATTGATGATAAATCCATGCAACTTAGCATCAATGGCTCAGGACATGAATTTCGAAATTTGTTGAGAAATACCCAGATATTGTCTCCCATAACAGCCACATACCTCCTCTATGGTGATGAAAATGGTAAATTTTAGTCAAAAATTCAACTTATAGAAAGTGATAAGTCCAGTTTTTCGGAAGAGCAAGAGACCCGTTTTAATATATGTATCTAAACAAGTTTCTGATATCCTGCTTAGCAACATTCCTGTGCATTTTTTTGGAGAATACGTCAGTCAATGGTAGATAACCAAAAAAGATATTTTTCAAATTTAATTCAAACCTTTTTTCAGTACGTCATAATTATCGACATCCTCCACTCTACCAATTTCCTTGAAAGCTTTATCATTGATGTGTAGCTTAAGTCTCAAAATTGTTTGCCAGCCCCATGGCTCAATAGCTGGTTCGTGGAATGTAGCCGCTACTACCAACAAAGCCACGTTACAATGAATGTCATAAGGGATTTCCTCCCAGTTCAATCGTGACAGGATCATTCTGGACAGTTTGCTGTCATTTGTAGTAGCAGCGTTCAACAAAAGCCTAAAAGAAGTTAAAGTTCAGTTCCATCGCACTGCATCTTTAAATGTGATACGACTAAATGAAACATATCTTTACTAAGCAAAACCAGCATATATTAACTTTTGAATGAACAATATCTTTTAACTCACTTAGAAAATATTTCTATATCACAGTCAGCAACTTTCCAAACAGATAAAGGTAAGTCCTCATATAAGTACAAAGCTAGCGAACCAATTTCATCTATGTGGTCTTTCACCTCCTTCAGTATATCTGACAAAAGATGTGGATATTTAGAAGTTATGTGAGTCAACAATATTCTAGACGACTTTGAACAGCTGTCCTGCGTCGTCTGATTTATGAATCCTATCTGAAATATAATTAAAAAAAAGCGTCAAGCAGGTCGACTCAGCACGAAAAACATAATATCCCATTTTCTAGATTTTTCGCGATTACAGTAATTCCTCGCCCAGTGACGAGGGAAGCAATATAAATTTCGATGGAAAAATGCACGAGTGTATTTCTTACCTTTAACAAATCTATCATTGCAGTTTGTATGAACTCCATGTCTACTTCAGTTCTTGCTAAAGCCATATTAGCAAAAGTGTTCAGTAAGTAATAAGTTTCTGCATCTTCTAAAGAGGAAAGCTTTTCTTCAAACTGGATTCTTAGTTCATCCTAAAAACAAATGACAGTTATGGGTCACAAGATAACAAGACAACAGTGAAATTTAAAAAAAATATTATATCAAGTTGTAAGAGTAAACTCTGTTTTGAAGCATACAGGTGGTATATTGATATAATATACTCTATATAGCATTGAAGTCAAAGTACAAAACATTGAAGTTGTTGAATATCAGTGGTGGTACATCAATCTGGAAATAAGGATACAAAAAAATTACAATCTGTATATTTATTACCGATCTCCAAGTGGCAGCGGCAATCGACTTATTGAATTTTTTGAAAGTATATGTGAAAAACATTATTACAGGAATTGCACAAATGTACATTTAGGAGACTTCAATATAAATTTTGACAGTAAAGATTTCTATGTTACAAAATTTATACAAGTACTAAACGTCCATGGATTATGGCAGAAAATAAATGTCTATACAAGGATTACGAACTTTTCGAAAACAAAAATAGATTTGCTTATAACTAATGAACAAAATCTAATTGCTGAAGTTAAGCATACCCCAAAGATAAGTGATCACTCATGGTTATATTTCTAAGTGGGAAATATGTTCAACGAAAATAAAATGAAAGAAACTACAGTCATAGAATTTACAAAATTACGAGAAACACTTTTACAACACAATATACCTGAAATTATCGATAATGCCGACATCTACTTCGAACAAATTATGAATAATATGGATAAATATATTAGTGAAGCTATGGTCAAGAAAATAATATATGAAAGACTGAACCCAACACGCTGGTTTCCACAGATTTTCAAGAAGTCTAAAACAATATACAAAATCAAGAGATGAGTGTGTAGCAGTTCTCAGGAGGGAAAAACATACTATGATAAGAAGATCGATAGCAATAAAAATAATTCTAAAATGATGTGGAAAACATTAAAGAATATTGTTTCTCCTAATAGAAAGACTGAATTATCTAAAATGCGTTTCGAAGATGGGGTAGTGACAGACAAATTAATTACAGCAGAAAGAATGAACACTTATTTGTAGAAAGTGTAAATCAAATAGTGAAGACGATTGAAGATGGTGATCCAAACGTATGTCCATTACAAGTATGCCAGAATTCATCAATGAAGCAATTTAGGACAATTAACATCAACAATCTAAGAAAAGCTATCTCAAAATTGAAATCTAATAAAAATCCAAGTGACAATCTCTCAAAAATATTCTAAATGATTGTTTCAATATAATTGGAGAGAAATTATTATTATTGGTGAATCATTGTTTAGTACATGGTGAATTCCCATCAAAATTAAAGTGTTCCACCATTACTCATGTGCCGAAAGTTCAAAATTCTCAGCTGTATACAAATATGCGACCGATTAATGTCTTGCCCGATGTCGAGAAACTGTTCGAAGGAACAATAAACGAACAAATCATAGAATTCATTGAAGAAATCAAAATTTTGATAAAAAACCAAGCTGGATTTAGAAAAAAATGTTCCACAGAAACGGCACTCCAAATGGTGGTGGAAGACTGGAGAAAGATGAGAAAGAATATAATTGTAACAATATTTTTAGACTTGAAAAGGGCATTTGAGACTATAGATAGGGAAAAATTGTTATTGAAATTGCGTCACTATGGCTTTAAAGGATCAGTATTACACATTTTACAAAATTATTTAGTAAATAGAAGTCAAAAAAGTTGGAAATATTATGTCAAGTGTTCAAAATATATCAGTAGGGGTGCCACAGGGGAGTAAATTAAGGCCGTTACTATTTATTATTTATAATAAATGATATCACTGACATCTTAGAACACTGCAAAATTCAAATATTTGCGGACGATACACTTATATATATATAGCACATAAGCATTTGGACACTGCTTTAGAACTGTTAAATAGTGATATTGAAAAAATTATTAATTGATTAAATGTCAATAAACCTAAACACTAATAAAACAAAATGTATGTCAATAGGGAAAGATTTAGGTAAAAATACAATTAGGCTCATGATTAATGATGAAAAAATTGAAGTAGTCGTGTCATTTAAATATCTTGGTATACATGTGGATAGTAAGCTACTGTTTCACGAACATTATGAATACATTATTTCAAAAATATCGAAAAAGATAAATTACTTCTATAGATTTCCCATAATCTTAGTATGCATTCCAAAAAAAATGTGTATAACACTATAATTCTTCCCCATTTTTTATATTGTTCAAGCATCTTGTTTACCGCAAATGAAAACATATTTTCAAAATTACAAATTCTACAAAATAAAGCTGAGAATCATTTTAAATAAAAACAAATATGCTAGGATTAAGTCTATGTTAGAAGAACTACAGTGGTTGGATGTGAAAAATTTCATATACTATTTAGTTCTAGTTTTCATATTCAAATAAAACAATCATTTTTTACCACCACATTTAGAGAACTTCACAAAATTAAATAGTCATTAACATAAGTACGAAACTAGAGGCAGTAAAGATTTTCATCTGCAAAATTGTAATAGTAGCATAACTAGTAAATCTATATTTCAAAAGAGAGTATTTGAATTTAATAAGTTGAATAACGATATTAAACGAGAGTTCGAATTTAAAAATGTTTAAGGTGAAATTAAAAAATCACTTTATGAATGATCAAAATACATAGTGACGTAATTTTAATTTTAATAGACAAGAATGTAAATTTACAGAAAATGGATTGAAGAAAAATATGTAACCGAATCATTATACAAAATTGACATTGTAGCATTAATGCTAAATAAATCTTCAACAACAACAACAACAACAACGATGAAAAACAAACAAAAAGTTTGCTTACCTCCCAAATCTTTGCACTATAATCTGTCTGATCTGACATATCCAGGATAAACTCGGCTTTAGTGTCAATCCCATGTAGAAAATAGAAAATCTTCCAAAGAACTTTCAGGGTAACCATATTATAAGGTATCACAGCCAAAAATTGCCAAGCCCCCAGTTTTTGAGAAGAATATAATGAATAGATTGCCCGTAGAAAGAATGAATCATATTCAACTTGTAGTCTTTGGAGCATTGCTTTGTCATCCAGTGTGTGCATCTAAAATTAAAAGAAGAAAAGCATAATATAACTGTAAAAAAACAGAGCATCAACACTTACTTTAAGAAATAACTCCCAGAGATCAGTGGCATACTGAGTAATATGCCTTATGAAGCGGCTTAACCTTTTTGAAAATTGATTATATCGAGGTTGGCTATAAATCTTCATACCTCTATGAATGATTCTCAATAGAACTGAAGAGAAAGCCAGTAACCTCAATATGTGGTTTTCTGTTATATCATTTGGGTTCAGGGTATCCTACAAAATAGGTCCATCAGATTTATACATACATATTTCTTCTAAACAAAAACAATGGCTTCATGTAGGTTGACTTTGTACTTTCTATGGAACGCCGTCATCAGTTCATAAAGTATTAAGTTCACACAAGTTAAATTCTCTGAGAGAATAATTAGTTACCAACATGTACAATAGAAAACTTAAACCAGTCAAGTCAGTCAAGCATAATCGATATAATCACTCGAGGCAGCGCCCACCGAAGTACCGTCGCAGTACGGGCAATATAGCAGAAGGAGACGTATACCGAAAACATTTATGATGTGTGAAATATGGCTGATTGGTGGCCGGGGCTGGGAGAGCATAATAATAATAATAATTTACGAGGGATGTCTTTTAAGTTTTGCGTATGGAAATAAAACAACACGGTAGGTAGTTTTAAATGACTTTATTGTTTTTCGAAGTATTCTCCACGAAGATTAATACACATCTGCATGCGCTCGAACCAATTTTCGAAGCACTTATTTCACTCGTTTGCTGTCAGATCCAAAACGGCATTTTTGAATGCGTCAACTGCTTCTTCTGGTGACTGGAACCTTTGACCACGCAGTCTATTTTTAATTTTCGGGAAAGTAAAGAAATCGTTAGGACTTAGATCGGGACTATATGGAGGATGGTCCACTAACTCCACGTTTTCTTCCGTTAAATACTGCCTTGTTTTTTGGGCTGTGTGCGTGCTTGCATTGTCTAGGTGGAGGTTGATAATAATAATATATATATAATTGATAATTATTGCAACATGACTCGCTTTTGACACAAATGTCGCGACCATCTTTTTCGAAACACTTCGAGAACGGATGACTTTTGTTGGCTTTTCTTCACCTTGGAACACCCAAACAGCCGTTTATTTTCTGGTTCATAACAGTAAATCCACGATTCATCACCACAAACAATGCTGTACACATTTTTTGAGTTTCCGGAATTGAAACGGTCAAGCGTTTGTTGACACCCAATTAACCCTGGCTGCTTTCTGCTCTTCAGTCAACAGATGTGGTATCCAACGAGTCATTAATTTTCTTACTCCTAAATCTTTATGTAAATTTATTTGAATTGAGGTCTTTGAGATCTTCAAGGACGGTGCACTCACCCTGGGATCGTCGCTAAGACTCACCCGTCCACGTTTGAATTCTCCATACCAACGGGAAATTGTCGACTGATGTGGCGCTTCGTTAAGTTTACTAAATGGTAAGGCTAAGATTCAGTACCGACGTTAGATCCATTCGGTCTACTATGTTTCTATATGCAAAACTTAAAAGACATCGTATTCACATAGATCACACATTGTGAACAAATGCATATGTCATAAAAGGAAAACATCCTTGTATGTGGATATCATGCTACCACAACATACATCATATAACATAGCAGTTATAATAAACTGATAGGACTAAAAAAATCTATGTAATATAAGTGTAATATGTACATTAAGTTTGGATCGTAGACTAACAATGGGGAAAAGATTTGTGTTAGTTTTTTATAAATTATATCATGCTTATATCAGTTTTCAAAAGCCACTCATATACATCTGTTTTTAATAATGATATTCGTTTTTTTCTAATATATTTTTGTAAGTTACGATTTAGTTTTGGACCTAAGTATATAGAAGATTTCAACATTATTTCTTTTTTGGTGTTGCAATAATTATTTGTTTTTTATTTACTAGTAATCACATTCATAATTTTTATAAATGGTCGAATGTTTGTTTTTATGGAATTCTAGTTTAACATTATACCAAAATAATGTATTTATATCTTAAAGTTTTGATTTTATAAACAGTGTTTTGGAAGGATATAGTAAAGGTTGATTATGAATTGTTATAAATAGTTTTTGTATTACTTGTAAATAATTTAGATGGTTATTATTCGTGGATCCCATAATTCCATAGGTTATGTGGCCTTCAACTAATGTTTGATATAAAATTTTTAATTGAGTTTCATTGAAAATTTGTCTGTAGTATCTGAATTTATATAATAGAAATTTCTTTTTAATGTATTGGATATGTTCATCCCAACGAAGAGGACAGTCTAAAACAATTCCAAGATATTTATGATTTAGTTTACGCGATATATATTCATGTTGGAGATTTGTTTTCTTTATATTTAGCTGAATATATAGCGGTAGTTTATATATGTAAGAGTTGAAGGGATTATCAAACCAGTGTGCTATTTGTACTAGGTCTTTTTCCAATTTCTTCTTTTAATTTCGTCCAAGTTCAAAAAATTGAGATATAGCTTCCTCCATCCCTCTATCGCCCTCACCCTCCAATTTTTCACCACTAGTTTTTTTCCAAATATGATCAGGATCCTATTAAACGTTAAAAAACGAAGATTGAGAGACTATTTTGTTTTAATTTTTTTTGCTCTTTTCTCCGCCACCAGTAGATCGTATTTCAAAAACTACAGAACCTTTTCATTTTTGCCTTAGCAGTCACCTTGTCTAAAAACTTCATCCAAATCCAAGCAGTACTTTCCAAGTTATAGACGGGCCAAGGATTAACGGACAGACAGACAGACCATCGAAATATATTTCACATTCGATTTTTTTTGCGATTAAAATACTTCTTCCTCGACCAGTGGCGTTGGAAGTAAAAAGTTGCTGACTCACCTTAAAGTCTCTCTTTTTCACTAATAAAATGCTTCTAAACATATCATCCAATGGTAGTTGATTAAGTAAGGCAACAAGGTCATTTTCTTTAAGACTAGTTCCAGTTGAATCATCATCTTCTTCTCCTTCAGAATCTACCATTACCCATAGTGCATCAGAAGCCATTTCACGACCCTAATACATATTGTAATGGTATTACAATAATAATATTGTAAGAAGTGAGTGAAGTCAACTTTGGCGCGTAGTGTATAAGTGCATAGCAAAAAAGGAAATGCCGAACTACCTCATCGGTTTTAGTTTTGTCATAGAATGCATTTTTGTGGATTTTATTGTGGATTTTTTCTTCGATCATAACTTGTTAACAAATATTAGTGCAGCTCTGAAATTGTATGATGATATTCCACTTTTATTCTTATCACTTTTCCTCTTTGAAAAATCTTTGCTTTTCTTGAAAAATCAACTTGCGAGACTTGCGAGGCTTCAAGAAAATCAAGGATTTTTCGAAAAGGAAAAGTAATAAGTATTCACTTGTTTCATTCTTCCATAAAAGAGGAATATTCACACACAATTTCAGAGCTGTATTCATATTTGTTAACACGCTCCGATTGAAAAAAGTGTACAATAAAATGCACCAAAATGCACTTTTTGACAAAAAAAATGAAAACATTGTTTTTTAGTCATCTCTATACACACCTTGAAAGGATTTAGAATCTGCTGCAAGCAGGTAGTTGAAAAAAAATCTGAAAACAGGGACATGCCACCTTAAGTCTGCAATAATAAGCAATAGATTATATTTTGAACAAAAAGTCCATTCACTTCGTAGACAATGATGAGTACGTTTTCGTAACCTTGCGACTTTATCACCCCCATCTCCAAGTATCACAGTATTATTGAAAAAATTAATGTAATACAGTTCCGTTTTACCTGCGCTATATCTTCTAAAAACTGCTCCCTAGCTCTAACAGGGCTCAATAAGGCAGCCAATATAGTAAGAATATGGTGGATTTGGTAATTTGAAAACGGCGATTCTTGTGTTTCCATGGTTAGAGGCAATTGAATATAGTTGGAAGCCCATGTTGATATGCCAGCTGGACATCTAATAACAAAACGTTCGACCATTAATATGCTCACACAATAAAAAACCGTAATTGTAAAGTATAAAAAGTATCCATTACCATTTTGATAAGTGATAAAATTGAGCAAACAGCTTTGATAAACAAGTCACTTAAAATATCTCACCTAAGCACATGACTCAAAATGAATAAATGATCTTGATAATTTGCTACTCTTAACAATACAGCAACAAGATAAGTCAACCATTTTCTGGTCTCTCTGACAAAGTCAGATTCTCTGATCAGTTTTCTCTGGAAAGCAAACAGTACTGAAATACAGATCCGGACTTCACTAATGTAAGGCTTCAGGTGTGGAGGTTCAGCTTGCAATGTCAGGGCTACAGGAGCTTCAGCATTTAGTTGTGCAACAGTTAGGCAATTGGTTATCACTTGATGGAGGTACAGCTCTATCTGCAAAAGTAAATTAATTAAGAGGGTCATTGATTTTCATGTTACACTCCTCAAGTGAGTAGAGACTTCTAGAACCCACAGGATGAGCATCCCAGTATAGTGTATACAAGTATCTGTTACATTGTGCAACAAAACATACTTACCTGCATTTGAACCTCTTGAGCTGAATATGAATACAGTGTATGATTTTCATATACCAATTTTCGTATATTGACTAAAATTCGGACCATACTTTGAAACACTGATCTATGAAAAATGCTTTTGTTGTAAGTCTGGGTAGCAGTAACAGTTACTCCATCTTGACATACACCTTTCCCTGAAAAATAATAAGCAAACCAAATGCAGAATAACAATAAATGAAAAAATTATTTATTATTATTCCATCAATCAGATGGATCAAAATATCTTCCAGTGTGACTATCAATAGAGCAATGTGACTTTATAAATACTTAGTAGGCAATTCAAAGTATATAATTAGAAGTTTTAAGTTTACATATAATGTCGCGTTTATAAAGTCACTCAAGGATGTTAGTATTTTCCATTATGGATTTAACTTAGGTTAAGTTAAGTTAGCTTGAGTTATGTCAGGAATCTTTATAAATGCACTGAAATATGTACAGCACTGAAGAAAAGGTCCTCCATATAATTATGTACAAATATCAGTTTAACTATTTGTCAGACAATCCTAACTTACCTAAGACAGTAGCAGTTTCAATGGTCCACAATTCATTCTCAAGTGCCTTGTATTCACATCTAAACTGATCTAGTTCAAGGTTATTGCCAGTGATTTTTTCACTTACTCTGAGGTAGTGAGATAGGAGCTCATACAGGGGATGTTTCTTAATTGCTAACCCTAGAATTTAACACAACAGAGAATAAGCATAAGTTTAATTTATAATCTTTTTATTATGATGTCAAAGTGAGAAAAGTATTGAATATGCGCAAATATTTTTCAAATCGAATATTGAATATACTGTTATTCTGAAAAAAAAACTCCAAAAGTGAGAAATCTTATGTAAATATAAGCTGCAGGTATTTCCTACCTACAAGCTACAAGCATAAGAATATATTTCTATAAAGAACTAAAACATGTAATATGAAAAGTGGAAAATATTTGCCAAACTGATACAATAGTATTGTTTTCATATTTCTTCTTTAAAGGTGGCTTGATGAAAACTGTTTCTATTATCAGAAAGCTATTTACTCAATATTTATTCTCATATCTTACCTTTCAACTCTGCATCAATATACTGATTAATAAAGATTTCCAATGTATCCAACTCTGTATTGGAATATAAGGCATTCAATTGCCCTTCAGTGAATGGTTTAATTACAATTACTGGATCTTTCTTTACAGAGGTATCTATGAGGTAATCGCTTGGATTTCTTACATTGACTGTCTCAATACTTGGAACATCACTCAGTTTGATGGCATTCAATATGTCTTTATTAGAATTAAGCAACCTCTCAAAATTTTCCCTTTCAATGTCTGTTTCTTCTTTTGCTGTTGGCATATCTAGAAATCATATATTAGTACTCAACACACTCAAGTTTGGAGTTTAGATATGCCTTAAACATTATACCTACTGCCAATACTTAAATATTATCAGTGTCAAAAGAAATTCACTGGCTATAATTTTGAGTTACACATTCATTCAATAAATTCATCAAAATAATTTTTTGGACAATTCTAGATTAGCATTGATTAATGCATTCTACCTGAAGATAGATGAATTAATTAAAGTTAGCAGAGGTAAAATGAGATACTGCAGTGGCATTTAAGAGAAATTGTCACAGCTGTTTCTCTATTTACTGTATGGTGAGGTTCAAATTTGACTGACATCATAAAGTGTATGAGAGAGAAGCACAAGAAGTGTGAAATATATATGTTAGAAAGAGTGTACCTTTGAAAACACCTATATGCATGTACGTAGTCGTGCCATAAGTTCTGTCCCATGATAATCTCATGATAAAAATGAAACAAGATAAGATATATTTATATGAAAGATATTATTTATTCGACAACATTTTTAGAATTCATAATCAAACAGTTTTATTCAAAATGTCCCCCCTTGGCCTTCACACACTGCTTCAATCTCGCGGGCCACTCATCTATCACTGCACGCACAGCTTCCAAAGGAATAGCTGCCGCTGATCGGATCAAATCCGCTTTCAGGGACTCGATATTACGGTGGGCTTTGGAGCAGGCCAACTGCTCTAGCAGGTCCCACAACTTGTAGTCTAAATGATTGAGGTCCGGACTCCCTGAGGGCCAATCTTCCGCAGCAATGAACTCTGGCACATTGCTTTCCAGCCAGCGCTGCGTACTCTTGTACTTGTGAGCGGGGGCGGAATCCTGCTGGTAGACCCAGTGTTGGTTGGCAAACAATGTACCACTTAAAGGCTTGACGATAGGATCCAGTATGTCGCTCTGATAGTTTGCCGCTTTTGTTTTCACGCCCTGTTTACAGAAATGGAGCTGAGTGACCCCTTCGTAGGACACCCCCCACCAAACCATGACTGACGCAGGGTGGTGGCCTCTCTCAACTCTCGGAATGATCTCCGAAGCTTCCTGTGAACTCCTTGCATACACTTTGTCATTTTGTCGGTTGAATTTTTCTTCTATGGTGAAGATTTTCTCATCCGTGAACAAAATCTTTCGGAATCCCCCAGCTGCGTACCTCTCCAAGAGCTTCTTGGATCTTGTCGCCCTGATGTGTCGCAAGGTGGCCGTAAGTCGCTGGCCCGTACGTCTCCGGTAAGCCCCTAGCCCTAGGTCTTGTTTAATGATGCGCGACATCGTCCGGACAGGAATCTTCATTTCCCTGGATAGGATCTTCTGCTTCCGGAGTGGATACCTTTGAATCCTGGCTTTTACGGCTTTGATGGCTGCTGGAGTCCTTACTTGACGAGGTCTTCCGCTTCTTGGCCTGTCATCAACAGAGGACGTCTCATTGTACCGCTGAATGGTCCTAGACACAAATTTACGCGATATTTGAAGGCCGCGTAAGAGTTCAAAAATCTGACTAGCACTGTGATTACACTTATGTAAAGCTATCACTGCAATACGGTTCTCTGCCTTGCCCCACTCCATCGTTATGCTTCGAGAGATCAATACAAACTGAGGTATATGTAATTACCCGAAAAGCGCTTAATCAACTGACACCACAATGTAAACAATCGGACAAGTATTAACAGGTCTACACTTGTTTGAAAACGAGGGACAGAACTTATGGCATGACTATGTATATGATCATAGAGGCAGTGTCATGTATGAGTCACTAACCTTTTCAAAGTATACATTGTAGATAGAGAAACAGCTATAACAAATGCTCATATATATGGTACTGCAGTATCTCGTTTTATCTTGGATAATTATTCTCATTGCTAAAGAATCTTTTTTGATTGATCTGGGAGTATAAAAGTTTTGTTCGCTCTCTAAATGTTCTACCTTGGTAAAATTCCTTCATTTCTTAACCAATTTGATTACATATTTTCATCCTATTTAAGTGCAGTGTCTGTATTTGCTACAAGACATTAGTGCATCCATAACTTTATTTTAAATACGTATTTCACCATCAAGTAAGTCTGTAATGTTATGATCTCTTTTCTTATCACACTCACCAGGGCAGATTATCATCTCTTTTTCGGGTGTGGAGCTACTGATAACGTCATGTTCTGATGATTCTGCAATCTGCACTACAGGTTCATTTTCCTCAGATATTGGTACCACTTCATCACAACTTGAAACATCTTCCGAATCATTAGCCGCATCCTGTTTAATCTGTGCAATAGTAGGCTCTCTTACAAACTTACTGTGGGTTTGCCCTGCTGTTGGAGTGTTTTGTTGAACCTTTCTCCTTTTCTGTATAATAAACAAAGTTACAAACTCTTGAAATCTATTTAAAACGTTGCCTTACCTTTGTAATGGTCTTTTCACGAAGTTGTTCCATTTTATCATAATTTCATTATACAGTAAATTTAAACATTTTCAAACAAATAATGCAAATTTATCTGGAAACGTAAATTAAATTTGCGATAGGGAATAAAAATAATCATACTTGATGACATTGACGCACAAAGGTAAACAAATATTCCGTCGTCTTTTTTTGTCAACTGTCAAAAAACAGCTGCTCATTGTAGAGATGTGTGAAGCAATCGATAGCGAGTACCATATCTGGCATCGATCCTTTCTCGTTCCACCGTTCCGTGTCAAGTGATGCAGTTTGAAATTCAAATGCACATACAAGTTATAATACAAACAAAACAGAGCAATGGAATAACTATAACTTCGTGTCGTTAGATAGTCGTAGCTTAGTGAATAGCTATTTTTTAAAAATGTGATGGAAATGGCGGTGTAAGTAATTTTTAAGCTTCCATATTCATAGTTGGTACTTGAATTTAGCAAAACTGAATTAATTATCTATCAATATAGACCAGTAAATATACTCCAAATGAAGTTGTGCATCGACTCAATACATTGAGATATTTTGATTACCCAAATTCTCGCTCAAATGATGCAATAAGCGTCAATATTTTGGACGCGGCGCAGAATAGTTTGCGCTCAAGCTGCACATAATATTTTTCCTACAGCAGAAGTATGTTACGTATTCTTATACACCTATTATCTTATCGTGATTATTAAATTGTGTCTGTAACTGTTAACATGCAGATGAACGAGTATTTACTAGAATGCAACATTGTGCCCGAAAACCAATCGGGCTTTAGAAAAGGACACAACTACCTCTCCATCGCGTGTTTGTGCTGAAGCACTGACTGCGGCGTATAAGCAAAAAGCAGCCGCACTTAATAGTTTTACTAGACCTTAGTAAGACTTTTGACAAGCTGGATCATAAGCTTTTGATTTCTAAATCTGACGATTTGGATAGATTGTTAAATATCTAAATGAACGACATCAATATGTTTTGATACAAGATAAACAATAAAAAAAGGCATATTTATTCCGACATGCTTCAGGGATCCATACTAGGGATAATCTTGTTCCTCATATACAGTTTCGATATCACAAACACTTTTCAACATTGTTCAAGTCAATCGTATGCTGGTGATATTCAAGTTTTCCATAGTTTCTCTTTGAACGATTACTACATGGCTAACAACCTCATTTATAGATTTAAAATATATAGACATCTACATACGCCATACACCACAATGCACAATTGACGACTAATCGCATCCAAATTGGCAGGTCTTCTTTTTTGAGAGCCTTTGGGTCTGCATGGCGGCCGATGCTTCTCGATCGAAAGCTCTAGATGTCAACGCAGAACGCTCCAGATATTCTGGTTGCCTAAGTAGCGATGTACGAGGGTGTGTCACAAAGTTATAGTTACGAGGGCGTTACAACTGCTATTGCCTTCGTTCCGTGATATCAATTGAGCGCGCCAATCATCAATCAAAACATTTCAAACGACACCAGAAAAAACAACAATTCAGTCGGCCAAAGACATGACGATAGAGAAAATAATGAGTCTGCACCCTTTCTTGTAAAATTTATTACTACCAAATTACAATTACAACTCTAACCACTGTTTGGATAACACTTGGTGGTGGTGTCACAGATGTCTGTAGAAAAAAAAACGGAAACAGACTAGTAATGTATACAGTTTATCTGAAACGAGTTGTGTAGAATCTTTGTGTAGGATGATTAATGTAATACTGTAACTCTAAAATTTTTAGTGACAGCCAGCAGACAATACTTGAGGATCTGGATCAAATTACAGTGGATGTGGTACAAGAGTTGCGTTCCATCAAGGTTAAAAGCAAACAATGACAGTATATTTACACAGATTTAAGAAGCATACTTCTCTCATTTTCGAGTATCATTTAAATTTACTCTTCGTTTCTATTTTATTCATCTGCATTTTCCATCCGCGTGCTTTTAGGAGAACAAAAGAATTTTTTACTATCCTGATATTCACTTGGGTGTACTTTGGTATAAGTTGCGATCGAATGATGCAATTTGCTGTACAAGTTTCACAATAGTGGAAAAGTCGTAACTCGTTTCACTTTTATCTTTTATTTGAAAAGCATCGCGAGCCGCATTATAGCTTATCCAATGTTTTATTGTTAAACTTGTAGAACAAATTATACTATTCAATCGTATGGTGGAAGAGCTACACCAAGTAAAAGCATCTACAATCCAGAATGCTCATAAGAGCCTTGTACTCGTAGAGGAAAGTGTGCATTCAGGTATGCGTCCACAGGTCTGCACCGCACTGATCATCGGGACTGTAGGTACCATTAACGACACCGACCGATTCATTTTCATTCTACCAACAACCAACTGATTGTAACCGGCCTCTCCGTTGGCAATCCGATTGCTGCGGATTTAGTGAACGCCATACCACAAACTGATCTGTTCAGTATACTCCAGGAATAGTTAATTTTATATTGAGAAAAGAGTAACAGCAATTTTCCCACTGATATCGTTAGAATATTGCTTTGTAGTGATGAATCCAAATTGACATTCTGATAGGTCTGGAACATTAGCTGCCATTTTGATAAACGCGAGGTTATTACGTCAAAAACCTATGATATGTAAAAAACTAGAAAATGTCAACCAGCTGCCTAGATAGTTTCTAGTGTCCAAAAATAGTACATTCCGCGTTTGCTCGCTATGAGCGCCGTGAGCGTCATCAAAAGCGTCCATCTATGGAGGCATGACCCAACGATACGACACGCTCAATGACCATGACCAAAATTATTACTGGAAAAGCTGCCCATATGTCTATCAGCTTCAAAGTTATACATTACGATTTTCCCCGTTTTTTGCGTTTTAAAAAACTTTGAGAAGCCTTACGGGGAATCAGCACCGCCAATGCATTGTGTGTAATCCAGCCACATCACAGAAAAATTAGGAGTGACGCATCACATACAAATAATTTTCGCACTGCCTCACAACTAGGCACTGATTTGTATTTTCTACTTGACATCGCAAAATAAATTTCTATAAGATATAAATGACTGGAAATAAAAATGAATGTGAAATGTAATAACTTTCTTACATTTTATAAATATTCCTGTATGTACTATATTTGTTCACGTTGTTTCTACCATTATTTTTTTTTAAATTTAGTTAATTTTCATAAGTAATTTCCAGGTTGAATAAGAAAAAGCGGATGCGCAACTTATTTTTAGCTTCACATATATCTCAAGTAAGTGTATTTGAGTTTGAGACAAGAAACCAATGTAATTATCATGAACTCCGATTATTAGCACACAATACTCACTATGCACCTATGGACTGCCTTTTCTTCCAGATATAGTATACAACTTACAGCTAGAACCTCCTATAACGCCATCTCTGGAGCAGATGTTATATCACATCAGCGTCATACATTGGTAGCTAACGTTTACGTGTCACGTTCACCAAACGAGTACACATCAAGTGTACAACGGCTAGTGCTAAGTTGACATCTTGTAGAAAAACCTACGTAGTGTCACGAAAAACTATATAATGTAGAAAAAAACCCGACATAATTTCACTTTTCAAGATACGTAATAATCCTGTCGATATGTGGTAAAATATCACTCTTATGTAAAAAAGTAATAGAAACAATTGTGTAGGGTATTAAATTCTGTATCATTCTGTTTCTATAGAATTTTTCCATATCATCAAAAGTTTGGTACCGAGTAATTATATGTTGCCCATTGCCATAACATAGTAGTTTTCTTAGATTTCTACATCTTTGTTTGACGTATCATTACAAATGAATCAGAGGTTCAAAAGGTTCAAATTTTGGACACTTTTTCTCGAATTTATGCTCGGTGCAACAATCTGAGGGTATAAACACTACTATATTTTATACAGGATAAAATTTGCTACAAAAAAGTTCTTTCGACACCTTCATTCTTGAATTATATACTAAGTGACATATAAATCCGAACACCCAGTTTAAATGGTTTTATTTTAATAAAATTTTGTATAAGTACTTAATGAAGCATAATAAGTAAATGATAAAAATTTCAAAATGATTGCACTGCTTTAAAGCCTTTTGACCTTTAATGATGTGTGGATGCACCCTGATGTGCTGCTACGCATTCTCCAACGCGCCTAGGCATGCTTCTGATCAGGTGGTCAATGTACTCCTGTGGTATCTCATTCCAGGCAACCACCAACTGCTCTCGAAGTGCTTCTAGAGTCTGAGGAGGACGTTGCAAATTGAGCAATCACCTACCCATCATATCCCACACGTGCTTAATTGGGGAGACCTTGGTGGCCATGGTAACAATGTGACATCATTATGTTGAAAGAAGTCTATTGTGACTCTTGCAACATGTGGTCGGGCATTATCTTGTTGGAAAGTTGGATCTGCCAGGGTGTCAAAATAGGGTAAAAGATGGGGTTCTAGAACTTCGTGAATATGACGCTGCGCGTTCATGTTACCTCTGATGAAGATTAAAGGTGACCTGGAACCATAAGCTATAGCACCCCAAACCATAACTCCAACAGTGTGATGAACATGTCTTTCAACAAAAAACTGTGGATTCCTCCTTTCACCACGTCGCCTTCTAACCCTGGTACGACCATCGTGCATGCCTAAATAAAATCAAGACTCGTCACTAAAGACAATACTGTTCCATTCCTGATCCCAGAGTGACCGTTGTCTGCACCACTCAAGGCGATTACGTCGGTGTTCTCGAGTTAAAGGGAGGACCCAGTGTGGCCGGTATGAAAACAAGCCAAAACTTCTCATTCGTCGGTAAACACTTCGCATGCCAATAGGTCTTCCGTGTTCTGCAAACCATTCATTTGCAATGGACCTGGTAGTGGATAAACGGTTCCTCAAGGCCAATAATCTTAGGCGGCGATCTTCACGGTCTGTTGTTCTACGGCGGCGTCCAGTGCCCCTTGCTCTTTGCGTACGGCCTTCTCGAAGCCATGCCTGACAACACCTAACCACAGTGTCTACACTTCTTTGCACTCTAACTGCAATTGCCCGAAAAGAAAGTCCAGCTTCCCGAAGTCCCACTATACGGCCCCTATCAAACTCACTAAGTTGACGAAATCGTACAGGTCTCCGTACTCTAGGCATCGTAACCGATCGTAAAGGATGTCAAGAACCAAAATCCGCCAACGTTGATTCTTTACTACGGCTGAAATATTCATTTTTAGAGCGTTAGTGAATTAAAAAAAAGCAGTATAAAAACCGGAATGTCCAACTGATAAGGCTGAAAATTTTTTCACTTGTTATATACAGTAAGATAAATACGTTCACCAACTTTTATTAAAATAAAACCATTTAAACTGGGTGTTCGGATTTATATGTCACTTAGTATAAAAAATAGTCGCGCAGAGTAGTTCGCACGCTACGTAACATACGTTGTCCACGTTCCAGCATACACTATTTCACGTGGGGATAACTCGATAACCATTATCTGTGATCAAGAATACGAGCACAAAGTGAATCTATCTTTTACGGCCAAGTATGGAAACTTTAATATTTTCGGATAATTTCTGGTGTCTTCATCAAGAAAATACAAGCAACTCACTTGCACTTGCTCTGTCTATTGAACATTTTGCTACAGCGTAGCCTCAGCAACCGCTGCTAGTGGAAGGGAATCGACCCCATAAGCGAGCATTGGTATCTAGTTTGGTATCCAAAGCTGCAACGTGACCGATACCTACTGTAAAATATTAATAGGAGGACTACACGCATCCCGTACGGTATCCTACTATGTCTAACCAAGTATATCTGGAACGTAAGGCCCTACCACGTTGTTAATGCATCCACAGTTAACAGCTTCAAGAATCATTTCGACAGGTGGTTGCACGACGAACTCTAGTTTACTTATGACATGCTCTTTATTTTTTTCTATGTTTAATTTCTTCTCTCTGTTTGGAGCTTATAGTTTTTGCTCAACTCCTCTATTGTATATAATAATAACAATAATAAATAGACAATAGACAGACCGATGGAAATGAGTGACTTAATTTTGATACTAGTGGAAGTAAACAAATAGATTCACTTTAAAATTGTGAAATAATATGCTGACGTAGACAACGTATGACATGAATTACAAACTTTAACTCTTTACACTTCAAATACCTAAAAGTTGACGAAAAAACGTGTTAAACCTTTTTTGTATGAAATTTTATTTTCTGCGAAAGGGATACTAGTCTTTATACGCTTAGATTGTAAGCTTGGTGATTATAAACATGTATCTTTATAATTACCTTAATTCTATAAAAAATTGCTCCTATTTCTCTTTGTTATACAGGATTATCATGTCGAACGTTTGAACTTATCATTATTACACTAACGATATCACCATAACACATTTCCTCTTCCATTTATTTTAGAATCTTGTTATTAAAAATCTGAGTCCAACACGCACAATGCGGATCTGTGGATGAGTACCATTAATTGAAATCTCTTATCATATCGCTTAATTTTGTAGGAAGATCATGTCGAATTGAAGCAAATAATGTCCAATATACTCGAAGAAAACCAAAACTTAACCACCGAGCTAAACGAATTATTGTCTTCCAGAGAAGATAGTATTCGCAGAAAACAAGACGATATGACAGACAATTTGAGACAACAGATTAGCTCATTGTTGTTAGAGAAAGAACAAGTTGCAACTTTATGGCAGGAGTCTGTGGCCTCTATGGGAGAATTTAAAAATGTCAAGGGGCTTGCGCCCGGTGAATTTGTGCCAAAAATAGATTTTGAACAGGTTTGACTGATGGCTTTACGTTCATTTTTTTAAATGCCATTTTTGAACACAACAGGACATTTATATCTTATTTTTGATTGGTTTTAAAAAATGTGGAAATTCCATCAAAATGCGAAATACTAAACGGGTGGATGATTAGCGGACAGATAGACCAATAGGCAAACATACTGACAGATAGACAGACCAACGGAAATGAGTGACATGTTTTTTTGTCATGACATCTCATTTGCTAAATTTTTCTTTATCACAATACATCCTCGCTACTGGCGCGGGGAGTAAAAGTACGCCAATCTCTTTTTGTTATGATAATGATAATAAAAAAATATTATTTCAATCTACAATTATAGGCTAGACAGAAAGCAGCAAAAATATCAAAAAAAAAACGTCATATAACTAAAATGAGGCATTATTTACTCTATCGAAGAAACTGACAGGGAAACTTGCATTTTTTCGTCAGATGTTTCATACCATCATATTTGTCAATCCATTTCTAGATGAAAAACTTTTACGAGCAAAAAATCAGCGAGCTAGAAATTAATTTGAAAACAGTACAAAAACGACTGGACAGCCAATTACAACCTGCTAGGAGTGAGGTATTGGTTAAGGATATGGTGAATATCTTAGAAACTGAGTCTGGAGCAATGCAGATCGTAAAAAATTTAGAGGAAGAGGTTCTAGCTCTTCAGAATAGATTGCAACAATTAGAGAGGTCTAAGGTAAGCACATCCTCTATTGTCCCACTGTCATAATATTTCTTCTATTCTTTCGTTTTAGGTGAAACTAGAAAAATTATTGAAAGAGAAGGATCAATTTATAAATAATGTTTTAGATAAAAATAGAGAATGTCAAGAGAAGGTTTGTGAGGCTGTTCAAATAGTAGAAGCAGCTCTAATAGAGAAAGATGCGGCACTTTATAGAGAAAAAGAAACTAGAGGTAGGTTAGACTATGTTAAAATATCACGTAGCGCAGGAAAGCTCGACAGATTCTTTCTCGCATTTCGGGCAGGAAGAGCAGTTAGGAAGAATCTATCGACCTTTGCTGCCTGAGAGGGGCTATTAAAGCCTTCCGCTGATTGAAAAAATAACAGAGTATAACAATGTCTTCATCCCAGACCAGATGCAGAAAATTAATCAGGATATAGATGATATCGTGAAAGATACAGAATTCAAAATTAAAGTAGAAGTAGCTAACGTAAAGAGTCAATACGACAAAAGGTGCCAAGAGTTGGAAGATATGCTGAGAACAGCTCAGGAAGAGTTGAGGATAAAATCACTAGAAATTGAGAAATATCAAACTAAATGCGAATTGTTTGAAAGTGAGTTGGATAAGTTTAGAAAAGGAAATTATGATTTTAGCGAAAGCAATGGTTCTAAGTTGTTGATTTTGGAGAAAAATCTGGAATCAACGTTTCAAAAATTGGTAAGCTTAGTTATAATCTAAACGTGTATACCTAATCAATTTCATAGTTGCTTTCAGAGAAGTGCAACATTCAATTGTCTTCCGAAAAGGAGGTTATCAAAAGGGACATGGAACAGCTTGCGGAACATTACGAAAGGATACTGAAAGCCAAAGACGTTGAAAGACTGACTTTAGAGAGCAAAGTTAAGACGTTGGTAACCAGACTAGATGAAGTTCAGTTAGATAATTCAGGACTCGAGAAAAAGTTGACGCAGGTCATTGGAGAAAATGATAAAATAGGGAAGGAGCTAATGATTGAGAGAGATGATAGGAAAAGGTGAATATAATAGAAAAGATTGTTAGGAGTACCAGGCGCAGCGTAAGCAGGCGGTGCGGTACCGTCTTCCCATGTAAAACGGTGTTATAGTACATACACATTGTGTGATGTCATGTTATCACATTATCTATTACATTCCGTGGCCGGGGCATATTAAGCCTACCAGGGGGTGGGAAACGTACATGGAAACTTCAAAATTAGATTTCTCAATTTTTCTTCAAATCAAAACCACTTTTTTTGTCACGAAAATTAATACTACAATGTATCCTTCATATTCAGGATTGAATAAATTCCGTAGCTGGGGTATATTAAGCATACCAGGGGGAACGACAGTTACCTATACGAAACGCACATGCAAATTTCAAAATTAGATTTCTCAATTTTTCTTCAAATAAACACTTTTTTGTCACAAAAGTCAAAGCTACAATATATCGATTACATTCCGTGGCTGAGCCATATTAAACCTACCAGGGGGAGCAAAAGCTACCTATATGAAACGCACATGCAAATTTCAAAATTAGAATTCTCAATTTTTTTTCAAGTCAGAACCACTTTTTTGTCACTAAAATCAATGCTAAAATGTATCCTTCATATCCGGGATCGATTACATTCCATGGCCGTGGCATAGTAAGCCTATCCGGGGGTAGAGAAAGTTACCTATACGAAACGCACATGTAAATTTCAAAACTAGAATTCTCAATTTTTCTTCAAATCAACACCACTTTTTTTTCACGAAAATTAATGCTACAATATCCGGGATCGATTACATCCCGTGGCCGGGGCATATTAAGCCTGTCAGGGGGAGCGAAAGTTACCTATACAAAACGAACATGCAAATTTCAAAATTAGAATTCTCAATTTTTCTTCAAATCAACACCACTTTTTTTTCACGGAAATCAATGTGGTGTTAGTTGAAGATGGCTGTGCGTTATTACGCTAATTTTAGGAACAAGCCATGACATATCTGTCAAAATAGTATAAGGGTGATAAATTAATACTAAAACGAGGCTTAAGCCGTAATATGATTGTCCATAACCTTCTATCATGTATTTCTTGTTGAATAAAAATTATGTTTTTTTAGGCAAGAAAAAACTTACCATGAACAAATCAAGGAGCTTACAAAGACCTACGATGACAAAATCAATGTATTGCAACTCCAACTGGAATCAAAACTCAAAGTTCACAACAAATGGGTGTCTGAGACCAAAAACATAATAGAAAATTTGGAAAAATTGGTAATAGACTTGAAACGCGAGGTTCACAGGTTGAGAAAAGAAAACAAACGACTAGATAATGAGTTGAAGAATAGTAAACAGAAGCTTGGAAAGTGTAAAGAATATTTGAAGATGATATCCAGGGATGTAGATAATATAACCTGTCTTAGTGTTGACAGGAAGCCTGAAACGTTGAGCGAAGATGTAGTCACTAGGTGACAGTTGCTGAAGTTTTGTATCGTTTTTTTTTATATTTTGTATAATAAAATGTTGCTTACTCAGTTTTGTGTAACAAAACTCGTATTAGTTGATTTCTTCGGTGGAAAATACAGATGACTTAAATGAGTTTTCTTTTAGTGTATGAAACATCCCTTAAAACCATATGGGAAACGGCTTTCTCACTAATGTGTTGGATATAAAATATATTTTTATTTATATATTATTATTTATTTGAATAGACCTAAATACTTCCGCGTATTTTTTTAGATATTACCACTGGTTAACGATATTATACCTGAAGATGTCTATGTATTATATTTCGGCGTCAAAAAAATTATCCGAGGTGAAATGAGATATACTGGCGTCATCTGTGAGAATTTAACACAGCTATGTTTCTCCACTACATAAAAATTAGAAATCTACTTTAAAGATTTGTATCATAGATGGCGCTATATATATATATATATATATATATATATATATATATATATATGAGCAGTAGTCAGTGCCGCTGCTAACGACCAGTTGGGCAAAAAATACAATTGAATTGTTTACTGGGAATTGGCAAAACTTAAAGCGTAACGAACTCTTCCGACTGAAACCTCAAGCTTTCGACAAACTATGTTGTCATCTTCAGGAGCTAAAATACAAATATGAAAATAGCAACCAATTTAGAACAAATTTAAATTTAAATTACTTACTCGTCGGTGAGGTTGCTGCTAAATGGTGTTTTAAAACGAAAGCGTGGATGAGTACATTTGTTACGATTATACAAAAAAAAGACCGGACACATTGGGTTTGTTCATAGAGACGGAACACATAGCTATGCGCTACTAACATTTGTCAATAAGCCTGAACGGATTAAAAAATGGAAAGAGGAATCAAGTTATTAAAAACCAAAAACTACATTTTGGGAAAGAAAATTTTCACTACGCTTTAAGTTTTGCCAATTGCCAATAAACAATTTATATGTCTATACACAGGGTGACTTCGAAGTTGAGTCATTTATTTTAACAGTGAGTAGATCTGATCAAAAGAAATGTTTTTTTCCTTTACCATTTTTCTGGTAAAATTAAAGTAACAAAGTTATAGCCCTTTGGAAGTTTGAGTACCGCCCTGTCTCAATAATAATATCATGTACTCGTGTTTGGCAACAACGGATATAATCCACCTTATCGGTTCATCGCATGGGAAACAAAAAAGCGAAAGAATTTGGAACGACGTTTTTATTTCATTCAGTTCAGTTATACATACATTCAGTGTCAGTCGCGTGTGAAGTGTCTGTTGCGTGGCTCAAACGAAATAAAACATGGCACATGTTTATGCGGATCGGTTTCCCAATCGAGTGCAACCAACCCCTCGTGCCTTTGTTAATGCAGTACAACGGGCTCGTGAATCAGGTGACTTGAGACCTCACAGGGCACCTCACGATCAAATACAGGTCCGCACTGAAATACTTGTTGGGAGGATACTTTATAAAACAAGGTAAAAAAATTTTTTTATTTTTTTTTTATTTTTACACACATATTTTGGTTTATCTTCCTTCTACAATCATTATCTGAAAATTAATGACTCAACTTCAAAGTCACCCTGTATATATATATATATATATAGAGAGAGAGAGAGAGAGAGAAAATTATCATGCGGAGAAAGGTAAATAACAAAAAATAGCAAAATAATGGGCAAAATCCGCAAAAAGATGCGAACCTTGCCCATTATTTTCCTATTTTTTGTTATATATCTTTCTCCGCATGATAATTTTCTCTCTCTTTCTCTATATATATATATATAAGCAGAACATTATGCAGTGTATCAAGGCGGGCAGGTGACTTGTGTACAAAGGAAAAGCACGGGACCCAAGACTGAGTCTTGAGGAAGTCCGCTTGCCTCACGATGGAGGAAAGTTTGACTATCACTGACGCGTACAGACAAAGTTGTCCCGGTGAGGAAGGCCTCTCACTGTAACAACTCTCCTCTAATTCCAAGACTCTGCAGTTTGAAAAGAAGTCTTTTTTGGGGTACGCGATCGAAAGCCCTACGGAAGTCTATGTAGATTATGCCAACTGGAGTATTCGTGTCCAAAGCTTGTGTCCAATCTTTAAGACAGTGAAGAAGGTTGGTGATTATAGAATCGTCGATGGATTGTTAGGGATGGAATCATTTTCGAAAGCAAATGTTAAGATTTTATCAAATATGATTCGTTCAGCGTATTTTAGCGGCGATAGCAACCAGATTTATTGGATGATAATTTTCTCTCTCTCTCTTTCTCTCATAATGGTAAGAGATTGACATTAGATTGTATGATATCAAGAATAAGGGTAGCTTATATTGCTAATCAATCCATGAATATCGAAATGTTTCAGAAGCTCTCTATCTACCCACTTTACTATTTACATAAACTAAAGGTAAATTTGCATTTTTTCGAGTAGAATTTTCGTACCCAATTCCAGCAATTTGAATCTCCAATAAGATAAGAACAGTAAGTTCAGTGTTTCAAAAAGCAATTCATTCCTATACTTTTATTGATGAGTATACGACGCTCCGAAACGAAACTCCGGGCGAAGTTTATCGATCGACAGTGGGCTTTTTTCCGGCATGGTCGCGGCTGGTTGTTGAAATTGTAACGCGACGTTGCCACGTTTACAACGAGGACAATGCACCCAGTCACCGCTCAGCGTAGCTGTGCTGCATTCTGTTCTATACATAGAGTATCGTACAGTTAAATTTGGACAAAACTCCAGCAGACAATAAACAAAAGACGAATTAGGGAATCAGTATGAATTTTTAACGTCATAATGTTTTTTTCACGTTCGAAATTAGCCACCTAAAATCTTATTCGATGTTAGAGTTTTTCTTGAATACAGCTCATGTTGTCGATGTTAAAAAACAGTAAATTTGAGTAAAAGGTTCAGTCTCTCCAAGTCAGTCATTGTTGTATGCAGGTGTTAGTTAATGATAGGCCGTAATTATATACAAGTGCGCATTCCTGAGCCAAATTGAAGTAGAAAAGTTCATATGAAAATGACTTGCGTTACGATAAGTCGTACGGCAAATATTTGACTCGAACGTGTTTTTTTGAAAATTCTCACTAGTTTATTGGGTAGACAATTCGGAAATGCCTTTCCAAACGAAAAAAATACCCTACGTTGCCACGTAGCACAAGCACGTGAAAATGACGTTACGAACTGATCATGGAATAACGATAAATCACTAGTTGAAAAACGTAAAAGCAACGTGAAAATGAAATACTAATGTCACATACTGATGTAATCATATGGCAGACGTCAATAATACGTCACTTGCTGGACGTGAAGATGACGTGTATGATTTATAATAAATAACCAGTTTCACACAGGCGGAGCACTGGTTCGATGCTGCCCGTCTAGCGAAAAAAGACGACCTGTTGCTGGGCTTTCCATTCCTCACTTTACTAATTAAACGACTTTGAGGTGGCAACACTACTCTAAGAATGCCTTTTATATGTCCTATGAGCCGTGTAATGCTTAATAATCAAATTCACGTTAGGCTAAAATTGTTTCCAAAATGGCCTATTTTTCTATAGTTTTGGGAATACTCAGTATATGAATTAGCTTATTTTTCAACTAAAATTAGCTAGAAGACACAAATGGGCACACATTGTGTGAGTGCGATAGAAATATCGTCGATAGGTCGATTACAGCGATCCTCGATTGTCATTTACTGTCAGTTGTCACTCTATCCAGCGTTGCCAGATTAAGCATAAAAAATCAACACCCTAATAGTTTGTCATTTCAGATAACTTGGAGTTACTGAATCAACGTCGATTAGGGATGGAATGAGATAATTATGTCTCTGCCTGCTGACTTGATCAATCTTGAACCGGAAATATTGATTCTAAATTAACAAAAACATCGCGCATATGAACATATATGTAATTCAAAAAAGATAACTCAAAAACATGTCATAACAATGTCCTACAGTACGTATACACAATTGGACATCGTTCTCCACGGCGGAGTCTTACCATTCTCCGACCATCGTGCATACCTAGACAGAATCGGGATCCGTCGCTGAAGATGGCATTATGACATTCCGCCTCCCAATGTTGCCGTTATCTGCTCCAGTTCAAACGTTGACGACAGAGGTCCGCAGTCAGAGGAAGCACTAACCGTGGACGTTATGAAAAATGTTCAAAGGCTAACAGGTCTACCTTCTTCTCCAAACCACTGGTCAGCGATCTAACGCGTGGTAGCAAGACGGTCTCGTAGGGCTAGTTGTCTGAAGCGCCTATCTTGACGCTCTCTGGTACGCCTCGGTGGACCAATTGGCCTTCTTCGTGTTCATCTATTTTCTTCTGACCCCACACGACGCATTACCGATATTGCAGAATAATTAACACGGCGGCCAATTTCGCGATCGAGCAGACCAACATCTCGATAGGCAATAATTCTACCCCTGTCAAAGTCGCTAACAGGGTGATAGTTTGGACTTTTCGAACTTCGACCACTAGTAAATGAAAGGGCAATAACTGAAAATATCTGTACTACTCAGCTCTCAGAAACTGTCTTCTTCACAAAAACTAAGAGATAACATTTTGACAAGGGTGAATAAAAACAAAGATAAAACGTTGACCCTGTTGCCACAGTATGCCTTAAATATAGTCATTATATTGCAAAAAAACAAGTTGAAGAAATTATGTTTTCTGGGTGTAACACTTCTAATGTCACTAATTATCTTTGCAAGATACGAGTATTTGGAGGATTTTCAAAATATCAAGAGTCAAGGAAAACAAAATGTAATCAACAAAGCTATTATTCCAAGAAGAAAATTATGTTGCCACCCTTGCATATCCAGCCGGAGCTTATGAAGCAATTCATTTAGGCTTTACAACAAGATGGATAAGGTTTTGGATACCTATCACGCAATCCTCCTGGAATAAGCAAAGAAAAACTGAAAGTAAGACAGCTTACTGAAGATCTACAACTCCAAGCATGCTTGGCGTTCGCTTGTTGGATTATTGTTTAGCGTACAGTACGTAACCAGTAAGCTGCTCACTTTTTACAAAACAATCATGACACAAAAAAGTAGATGAGGAACAAAATGAAACAAAAAAAATCACAAACTATAAGGTCACCATAAGTCTGGTGCTGGCACCCATAATCATACTGATAAGCAGCGAATCTGCATACGTTCCATACAGACCAGATGCGTCGAGTCAGATCAGATCCAGTGAA